GAATCCATATAGAGTTTGTGATATGGTACACATATATGGAATAAATTGATCGACCTCACGATATCCAACGTGATGATTCTTTGCAATATCGAGGTCATCTCCATTTCCCAATATTGCTTCATTATCAAACAGATGATGGTGTCATAAGAATACAACTCTTTATTGTATACATATAATTTACCAATATCCACACAAACAATATTGGTGAAATATTGGGATGTCATCATTGAATAGCAGTTTTGTATTCGATATGGAATACATATATGAAATCAAGAAGTCCACGTGACGATATTGAACCTGATGTTTTATTGCAATATCCTCCAAGATACATTATATCGATATAGGTTACATATCCAGTTGTAATATGAACTGATATCACGCAATAAATATATCTATCATGAAGATTTATCAATATCGAGACATAAATCATCAGGATATAGGAGGAATATAGATTTCATCACATATGTCATTATGAATATCGATACAATGTAGGATTCTCAAGATCCTGAAAAATGTAAGCCTATCAACATTGTATTCATATTGATCCGTCCAGCTCATTTATTCAATATCGTTACAATATCATCCGACCGATTTACGATATTCAAATATTGGGCCAATGCAGAGCCGATTTGCAGCCGATATTCTGTGCTACTGGGGTGACTTGTGTAATTTGGCTAGATGGGCGTCATCAGCATTTGTCTGCAGCCTGTCTAGGAGAAGGAGAACTCCCAAATCAATTAGAAGGGCTCCTTAATTGAAGAGCTGGACTGTTAGAAATCAACCGGCGCAAACGACCTTGCAACAATGATTCGTTGAATGAGATGAACAGTCTGAGAAACCTAGTCAGCGATAACGAAAAAGTAAAAATCAATTTATGTCATAGAACAAAAATGTTGTAACTTCAATTATTGTTCAATCTATGAAAATTATGAGGAAAACAATGGCGTGAATGATTTTCGCTCCAGGCGCCATAGAAAGTGGCTTTTCTATGACACTTAACAGGCAGGAGAGTTGTTCTTCCTCTGAAGGCAGGAAAAGTTAGTTGAAATTCAACGTTATGGTTCCAAGTAATTCCAATGAAATTGGTAATCAAACTTGACACTGAAATTGGGTGGACACAAAACGATGAAGTTTTCACTAAAAAAAAAAACACAAAATTGGTATTTGGGGAAAAATTATATGTTTCACACGGCAGCAAATGTAGATTGACTGATAGTTCATGGTCGAGAGCAGCGAGGTAGATATAAACAGCTTCAGAATACTGGTATCTTATTTGGGGTTCAACAGCTGATGCTCTAAGATCTCATCCAGAGAAGAGCCATTCGCCGGGTGGGTGCGATTCAACACACACGAATCCTTTTGCCCTCATTAGTACACCGTAGAATAAGAGTCGGCGTCCTTTTCCATCTCTATATATAGAGACCGTGGAAATGGTTCTTCAGAAATATTTGCTATCATTTCATCACTAACAATACCAGTCAGACGAACTCGACACGCCCAGTCAGCACATTCCTTGGTCGTTAACCTCGAAATATGTGGAACAACACTTCACAAAAACTCGATCGTTCATAGAACAGTAAAGCTTCTGGAATACTCTGCCAATGAAATTATTTCCAAGAACTCATAACCTCCCGCCTTTCCTTCCTATAGGTATACGGACGATTTTCATTGAACATTATAGGGATTCTCTTTTGTGCATCCCAAGAGATTTGAAAGAAGGTACTCACCTTGTTTCAGGAACATGACACGGATTTTAAAATATTACGAGCAAACCTGTCAATTTCAACAAGAATCGATTAAGAAAAATTTGAGGTGTGAATTGTGAATTCAAAACTATATTCTTTAAATTCAGCAACCTGTATCTTTGAAACGAAGCTCCAAAACAATACAAGTGTAGAGTTTATAATCGTCTTTGGAAATTTTCCGATTGAAATCTGAAACAACCTGTATATACAAGATCGAAAAATACATTGAAAAAATAATGTCCTGGAACTATATGATCTCTGTAATATAGAAAATAAAAGTTAATATTTTTCAAAATTCCATCCGCCATCAGGAAGATGACATTCTGTATGATCGATTTGAGCTATATATAATCAATTTGAAAAATGTCAAAAAATAATGTCCTGGAACTATATGATCTCTGGAATATACAGAAATGAAAGTTAATATTTTTCAAAAATTCGTCCGCCATTAGAAGGAAGACATTCTATATGATCGATTTGAGCTATATATAATCGATTTGAAAAATGTCAAAAAATAATGTCCTCGAACTATATGATCTCTGGAATATACAGAAATAAAAGTTAATATTTTTCTAAAATTCGTCCGCCATTAGAAGGAGGACATTCTATATGATCGATTTGAGCTATATATAATCAATTTGAAAAATGTAAAAAAATAATGTCCTGGAACTATATGATCTCTGGAATATACAGAAATAAAAGTCAATATTTTTCAAAATTTCGTCGGCCATTAGAAAGAGGACATTATATATGATCGATTTGAGCTATATATAATCAATTTGAAAAATGTCCTGGAACTAACCGTTAGACATACATATATATATATATATATATATATATTTTTGTTATCGCTTGGAGCGCACGAAAGAGAATCCCTATAACTCGTCTTCCTGAGCTCTATGCAAATTTGGAATGGAATATAGGGTGTTCCATTTGAAAATCTCGAGATATTTATTGGTTTTCAAAATACGTCATCACTTTTGGCAAATTGGAAATTCCTAAATTTTCACCATAGAACAGAATAATATACAGACTTTGTTAATTTATAGCGGAAACTGCGAATCGAAAACTTCATTCGCAACGTTTCTATAGGGCTTCGAAATTTGGCAATTTATTGAAGAAGATCGTGTATAAATCCGAAACGGGTGATCTCAGACCCATGTTATTATATATCATTGAACTCGTCTTCTTAAGTACTATCTAAAAATATGATGAAATATAGGGAATTCTATTTGAAAAAACGTATGTGTGATAAGTCACAGACATATGGACCATCCTGTATAAATGAAAGTATCTAAAAAATAAATTTCATAAGAAGTAATACAACTTTTATACCGAACTTTTTTCTGTATATATAATAGTTTACCAGATAAGGGGGTGGCCCATGTTATGTGGGATACCCTGTACAATGCAGTAATAAATAGAACAAAGAGCTATAAGATTCGTAAATTCTTCACAATTACATATGAGGAAACCTAGAGCCCTATTGGCATTGGATTTAATTTTTTCAATATGTAAATTGAATATCAATTTGCTGTCAAATATAACTCCCAGATCTGTACATTCGTTTACCCTACGTAGTTTACCATCTTCGATGAAATATTCAAATGGAAATGTAGAAACTTTTCTAGAATAGCTCATAATTTTGCATTTCTCAATATTCAGGGGTAAATTATTTTCAGAACATCATTTGATAAGAAGATTCAGATCGTTTTGCAGACGCAAACAATCTGCAATATCTGTAATTTCTGTGAAAATTTTCATGTCATCTGCAAAAAGGAGTTTGCTTGATTTGATTGAAATACATATATCATTTATAAATAAGAGGAAAAGAAGAGGCCCCAGATTCCATCCTTGAAGTACTCCTGTATGAGCTATGAAGTTGATAGATTGTACGAATAAATTCCTATCACTGAGGTACGATTTCAATAGTAATTGGATATTAGGGGGTATACCGAAGTTACCCAGTTTTTGTAAAAGTTGTTTGTGAGAAACTTTGTCGAAGGCTTTGCTGAAATCAGTATACACAACATCAACTTGGTGACGATTATCGAGTGAGTTTGATACATACTGGGTGAACGTGCATAGGTTTGAGACTGTGCTCCGAGATTTCATAAATCCATATAGAATAGATCCGCGGAAAATTTGTTCAATATGTAACATGGAAGAACTGGAAACTATAGAACATAATATATTGTTTGAGTGTCCAATTTATTGTGCCATGAAACCCCAAGATCTCGACTATCTATCCAACCTTGATAATCTCGTCTATGCTGTTGATAATATCTCCGCAGAATCTGCCAAGGTCATTTCCAACTATATATCTGGAACTTGAGGCTCCGTTCTTTCGTGATAAATGAATGAGTTTCTCTCACCATGTTCTTTCTCTACTTGTTGATGATTATTTTTTTCTGTATCTTTTTTATTTGCCCATAACTCTCCTTTTTTATTTCACCTATGTTCAATATTTATTTATCTGATGGCATGTCATAATGACAACGTTATGTCACTCAATTTTGATGACATAAGGAAGCTCATTATGGGACTAAGTACCATAATGAAATTCTATAAGGAAAACATGTAATGGTTTGATCAAAAAAGTTTATTCAAAATGCATAACTATGTACAAAACTATTTATTATAAATTTTAAAAGAACAATTACTACAATTTGTAATATTAATATAATGGCAAAGCACAGCTCACTCACCTACTAATATTTGAAACTACACAATACTTACTCCTTTAAAAATAGTTGTCATTGTGACATGTCGAAAATGCAGTTTTTAATTTTTCGAAAATGTATTGATATAAATGCCATCAGATAAAATTTTGTATGTAATACGAATCATAAACAATCATTATGGCACACGCCGTGTTATCGGACTCGGCTACGCCTCGCCCGATAACATTCACGACTTGTACCATAATGATCGTCTTTATGATCCTTATTACATAAATAACTATTATGTTACTCATGTTAGCACCTGTACCTTCGAAACCTTGCTATGAAATGTATATTTTTGAAGCTATAAATGTATTCTATTCTATTCTAGGTATGTTCAGAACGAAACAGAGATTTGTAAATGTTGATCGAAATATGATGGTTGTGAATAAAATAGTATACAAACCTCGGTAGGAAGTTTTATTCCTGATCTCACGACAGGAATGAATATCTTCCCACCTCGGTGTGTAATATACTATCACTTTCTGATGTCGAAAAAAAATCATTTTTGTCTGAAATTGATGTATTTCAGCTGAGCGAAGTATTTCTATTTTTCCTGGCTGGATTTGATACCTCGTCTTCGGCAATGAGTTTTGCTCTATACGAAATGGCACGGCAACCAGAAATTCAAGAAAAATTGAGAGACGAAATCAATTCCATCCTAGAGGAGGGCGATGGAAATGTCACCTATGAAAATATCAACAAAATGACATACTTGCAACAGGTTATTGATGGTAAATATTTATAATGATTAGGACGGCAAAATTGAGCAGTGGTTCAGCGCTCAACTAGCAATTAGAACACCGAAAGGTTGCTAGGTTCGATCCCCGGCGGAGTAGAGAATTTTTATAATTTCTAATTTTCGCAGTTTCGGCCGTAGATTATTCCGCGCGATTCGCTGTTGCGTTCCAATAGGCGAGTGGACTATTTCGTTTTCATTCATTAAATAGAATAATCACTCAAATATACCTTTCAATTTCATATTTCTTAAGTAGTTTTGATGGATTTCTGAAAATATCTTGAATGAAAAGAGCGTATTCTAAAATATAAGCATGCATATTTCCATGGATTTCTCCCGACTGATTTTCGATATAGAGATAGTGTAAGCTCTTCATGACATACCCTGTATACTCATGACTCGAAGACACCTATCACACCTATCAGGCGCCACATAATTCATAAATAAATTTTGCTAGTATTGTGCCAGTGGCCAGTGTCAATTATAATGAGACCATATTATTTTCACTATTCTGTTTTTTTTTTAATATACAGGGTGTCCGGAGATAAAACCGACAAAACTCATGGGGATATAGGGACTGTCAATATGATTCCAAAATGCCATAAACGAATGCCCAAAACGGCTTTGTTTCTGAGATACAGAGTGATTTGTGGATTTTCACAAAAAATTCAATTCGCCATATAAAACACAGGGATTAACCGATTAGATTCAAATTTGGTACACGAATTACACTGAAAAGCATCAACAAGTAGCCCTTTGATCGAACCCAATATCAGGACCGGAATAATATTTTTCCCCTATGTTGAGTTATTGTTAGAATAACTCACCCTGTATAATAAAAATCAAAACTTTCAACTCAGATTCGAAATCTACGGTGAAAATTGTATAGGAATTTGTTGAAGAATCTCCTGGCACCATCTTAGTTATTCCGTAATTGATTATTATTTTAATTTTTTTCATTGAAAAATCAATCATTGTCGGATAAAATACCATCAAAATTGGTAATATAATAAATATTTACGAAACCATGACATGAATGTCGTTATTTTCTTCGATCAGTTCATGAATCGGAGTAAAATGAAATATTCTCATAACCCGAAAAAACTGAAGAATAAATTCGTATCAGGACTGGATTGAGTTTTTTGTTTGTTTATGTTAGCTGACCTAGTACATCGATAGTTATCAATAATCTGATCGTAGATTCGGAATCTAAAAAAATCGTATAAGAACCTGTTAAAGAAGGATAAGAGTGAAGTTTTCGTAAATTATATTCGCTCACTAATGAATTTTGAATTTATGAAAATACTACACAACGAACAATAACTGTTTGTAATGAGCATAACAAATCCAATGAATTTGTGACAAACTTTCACTACTCAGTATTACAAAACATTTTCGAAGTGGAGTCCTCCAACATCAATACATTTTTGAGAGCGTGCTATTAGATGATTCACTGACTTGCGAATTATTTGAAGGTTATTTCTAACACTAACACATTCTTACTTCAAATGACCTCATAAAAAATAATCTAGCTGAGTTAGATCAGGGGATAGCGGTGGCCAATTCACTGAACCTCCACGGCCAATCCATCTATTGGGGTAATTGGCATCGAGATGGTTTCTAACTGGAACTGAAAAGTGAGGTCTAGCACCATCATGCTGAAACCACATACCCCAGGTATTTACACCTTGCAATAGATCCGGTCAAGTATTCACCAGGAAATGTAGGTAAACATCACCAGTTAAAGACCAAACACAAATAGAATATCGGCGTATTCCTCATAAGTGAAATGAAACGGCATCATAAGCACACTCTCAGAACTATAGTTTGATCCAAAAAACACTGGAATAATGAATGAACACTAATAAAACAAACGCTGATGACAGCTGAACAATGGTTTTCCATAATGAAATTCTGAATTTGACACAAGCCTAGTATTCTTTATACACAAACATTATAGCTATAGCCAATGATTTAACATTCGCACAAAGACAAGAAAGTAGGGCTTTGAGAGAGTGTTTACGAAGAGAGAGACAAAACCCTACTAACAAGTGCTACATTAAAGGAAACAGAATCTTCATCAACGATATAGCCTATACCTTGGAAGAACTGGAAAGAAAAGAAGAAATCTCGCAACAAAAACCGAATAGTGCTCCCCCGACACCAAACGTGAGTTCCAAAAATTCGGAGACAACTGACATTGATGTTTTCTATAGTGACTCACCTATAGAAATAAACAAAAATCCAAACTGTGAACCAGAAACCCCGAAACTATCAGAAAGAGCCAATATATCCAAGCCTTCAATGAATAACAAAACTACGAAGAATACCATTAGTGCCCTTTCATTGAAAGACAGAGTGAAAACTCGCTCAAACAAGTGAATACCTTTATGAAAATTTTTATTGTTAGTTGTTCTATACGCATAATTTATATATAACTTTTACATAACTGCCTTCACTTCAATTTTCATCTCAAACTATGGATCCCTATATATTAGACTTCCAAACGGATTCGATCAAAACTTTCACAGTCGATAATGGAAAGGAATGCAAGGAAATTCTGGAAGTTAACAATTGTCACGAAAACTTCAAAATCATTCACAATAACATTCGAAGCATTAATAAAAATATCGATGAATTCAAAATACTCTTATCCAATATTAACACGAGTTTCGATTGTATAGTTTTGACTGAAACCTGGAGGTTATTAGATCACAATATATATGGGATTCCCGGATACAAAACCATATACAATCAGGGTAGTTTCAATCAAAACGATGGAATAGTGATGTATATAAAGGAGGAATACGATTTTGAATTTGAAATAGTAGAACTAGACAAACTGAACATTTTGAAAGCAGTTATCAAATTCCACAATAAAAAATTCGTCTTAAGTGCTATTTACCGATCACCGGCATCTAATATCTCAGAATTCAACAAAAAACTTCAAAATTATTTAGATAATCAGCAAAACAAATCTGATGACTTATGCGTCGTCATAGGAGACATCAACATAGACATACTAGAGCGAGACGAACATAGTACAGAATACCTGAATACACTTTACGAACATGGTTATATCTCAACTATTAACGAACCCACGAGAATAAAAAGTTGCCTCGATCACATCTTTCTTAAATCCAAATCGTACATATCGGACATGACCATTCCATTAATTATTGAAAGTAATATAACCGATCACAAAACAACAGTATTACAAATCATAACAAAAGATACAACCGAGGTGAAACACACGAAACGCAGTTACACAGAATACTTGAACTATCAAAAATTGGAACAAAAACTTCAACTGGTAAACTGGGAAACCGTGTACGCAAATCCAGATCCGAACCCCGCGATGAACGAATTCATTGGAATACTATCGTCAAAAATAAGTGAATGCACTGAAAGAAAAAAACAACTGAGGAAACATTCAAAACTCGCTCCTTGGCTAACAAATGCATTATTTACTTCGATTAACAAAAAAAATGATATGTTCAAGAATCTCAAAAAAGACCCAAATAACGATTTATTGATAAACCAGTATAAAATTTACAAAAATAAACTTACTAATCTGATAAAAAAAGTGAGGTGTGATTACTATAAAAAACAAATAGAAAAAAATCTCAATGATACAAAATTTCTATGGGAAAAAGTGAGAGAATTGAGTAATACAAAACCCAACAAAAATGTAATCTCGGCAGTCCGTAACCAAAATGGAGATATTCTTCATGGAAGCAAAGACATCGCGGATGAATTCAACCTCAGATTTGTTGAAATGGGAAAAACACTGGCAGAAAAAATTGTGAGAGATCCAAACCAAAGAGTATCTGGAAACATTCCTCTGAACTCAATGATTCTAACTCCAATTGAGACGAATGAACTGCTGAATATAATAATGGGCCTGAAGGATGGAAAAACTGTTGGAAAAGACAACATAAAAGCTGAAACTATCAAAGCTGTCTCCGAATACATACTTCTTCCTCTTCAACACTTATTGAATAAATGTATAGACTCAGAAATCTGGCCTGATATATTCAAACATTCAATTGTCATACCAATTTTTAAGAGGGGGGACAAAACAGTGGTAACCAACTACAGACCAATTTCTCTCATCACTCATATGTCGAAGATCTTCGAAAGGTTCTTGAAAAACAGATTGACATCATTCATAACAAAATATGGAATTATTTCCAGCAACCAATATGGCTTCAAGGAAAAAACGTCAACAGAAGATGCTGTTCTTGCACTATCTGAAAAAATTCACACATCACTGGAAAAAGGACGTCCATGTCTATGTGTATTCATTGACCTTTCGAAGGCTTTTGATACTGTCAGCCACCGACTACTTATTGAAACCTTAGAGCGAGTAGGTCTGAGAGGCAAATGTGCAAATCTGCTCACAAATTATCTACAAAACAGGAGCCAAGAGGTAAAAGTGTCTGACACAATGAGTGATCTGAGAGGAATAGAATATGGCGTACCTCAGGGAACTGTATTAGGCCCTCTTTTATTCAATTTGTATGTCAATGAATTATTTTCCCTCGATTCCCAAGGAACCGCTTTAGGGTATGCTGATGACACCGCCATTTTCTACGAAGCGGAAACATGGCTTGAGTTGAAACATAAGGTTGAAAATGATTTCAAGATTCTAAAAAACTGGTTCGACAGCAAACTATTAACGATCAACTTAGAGAAAACCAACTTTCTACCCTTTAGTTGCAACAAAGCGGGAAATCCCCCGTTTCAACAACTCGACATGAAAGTCCAGGGAGGCACTTTTCAAATTAATGCCTTAAAAAATATAAAATATCTTGGAGTTTATCTAGACTCATATATGAAGTGGGACATACATATTAACTACATCACAAAAAAACTTCGGACAATTTTATATAAATTCAAATTCCTCAATAATTTTCTGCCATTGAAGTCAATGAAAATATTATATAATACATTAGTGGAAAGTCATCTTCGATATGGAATTCTATTGTGGGGCAGTGCCCTTCGGACACACATAAACCCACTCGAAGTGCTACAAAAAAGGTTCCTCAAATTAATCATGAAGGAAAACACAAGATATTCCTCCAACTTGTTATATAAACAATGCGAAGTCATGGATATGAGGCAACTATTTTATTATTGTGTGAATGTGAAACTGCACTCAACCGGAGTTGTTGAACGACCCACACATGATTATAACACACGCAAAAAAAACTTATCAACACTACCACAAGTAAAAAAGTCGTTATCCCAAAGATCATATGCATATATTACAAAAAAAATACATAATAGTGTTCCTGATAGAATCAAAAGTGAAAAAAGCAAGTTCAAATTTAAAAGAGAACTAAAAAAATATATTCTGGAAAGCGATAGAAAAATAATATCCGATCTTATAGAAATGAAATCATAGTAGCAAAATAAAATAGATCCATACCTACACCACATTAACATTTTACTGTTATAAAATTCAATGACCTCCATATTTGTTGGTTAGCCTAAGTTCTAATATTTTCCGTGCTAGATTCCATATAATATGTGTGTACATGTGTATATATGCATGTATTTGTGTGTATATATGTATACCTTGGGTTATTATCCATGATATTTTTGTTATTCTCAACTCACCGTACACCTATTCCCACATGTAATTGAAAAATTCAATTTTCCATCTTATTTCATAAATTTATTCCATTTCAATGTGTTACCAGAGATCCTATTCTAATTTTATGTGATGTGACATATATGTGCACTCATGTATATATGTGTGTGTGGGTGTATATGTATGTGTATATATATATGTACTCACAAATACACCAATCTACTCGCAATCGTAACTTTTTACTCTAAACTTTTTTTAATTATCTACCTTATTACATAACCTTTTACCATTTTATTTTTAATGTGTTACCTTAGATCCTAATCTTATTTTATCTGATATTATTTTATATATATATATACTTGTTTGTTTGTTAATATCGAAACAAGTGAATGATCACTTATCGATTACTACTTTGTTCAACCCTATTCTTTGTTATTCTATTACCATTTTTTTATACGTTTGTATACTGAATAAAGTTCTTATATATATTATGAGGTACTGATGCGGATTTATTATTTGAAAGTTCAGTCCGATCATTTTTCAACAAGTTTTTAACTTTTCTCAGTGCATTTCGAATCTGCGATCAGATCATTGTTATACTAGATCATCTATTCTTACAGGAATATAATCATAGAAAACCGCATTCCAGTCCTGATACGAATTTATTTTTCAGTTTTTTTGGGTTATGAGAGTATTTAATTTTACTATGATTTACGGACTGATTGAAGAAAGAGAGAAAGAGAATATTTATTATATTACCAATTTTGGTAGTACTTTATCCGACAATATTTGAATTTTGAATGAAAAAAATTAAAATAATTATTAATTACGGAATAACTACGATGGTGCCAGGAGATTTTTCAACAAATTCCTATACAATTTTCACCGTAGATGTCGAATCTGAGTTGATATTTTTTGTTATTTTTATACAGGGTGAGTTATTCTCACAATAAAATAACTCAACATTGGGAAAAAATATCATTCCGGTCCTGATATTGATTTCGATCAAAGGGCTTCTTGTTGATGCTTTTCAGTGTAATTCGTGTACCAAATTTGAATCTAATCGGTTAATCCCTGTATTCGATATGGCGAATTGAATTTTTTGTCAAAATCCACAAATCACTCTGTATCTCAGAAACAAAGCCGTTTTGGACATTCGTTTATGGCATTTTGCAATCATATTGACAGTCCCTATATCCCCATGAGTTTTGTCGGTTTTATCTCCGGACACCCTGTATATTACGAATACCCTATACGTCAGATTTTGATGAAATATGATACATATAGGCATTCAGGGTGTTTGTTACTGATTCAAAGAAATGTCTAATAGACTCTGAATTTTTGTGGTTATGTTTCATCACAGTAGGCTTCGATATGATAATTCAAGAATATTTCATACAGTGCCCGATAGGTCTCTTCACTTCCAGGAGACAATTTTTCCAATAGCCCTTTCTACTTCAAAATGAGAGTGTTCGATACACCTGAAGAGGGACAAATTGAATTTCAGAAACTCTGAGGATCTATCCGTCTGTACCTAATCTTCAAAGGAAATGTGTAAAACAATACAAAATGAGAGACACCGACTTCGTAATAGAGAAGGGAACGCAGGTTCTACTTCCGATAATTAGTTTACACAGGGACCCGCAATATTATCCAGACCCATTGAAATTCGATCCAGACAGATTCAGTATCGAAAACAAAAAGAATAGGAATTCCATTTTGCATATTCCATTTGGAGAAGGACCTAGAAACTGCATTGGTAAGTAGATACATGTCTTTTTTCTACGGCTATAACACAAAATTGCTCTTGCTTTACTGTGTTCGATACATCAATGAGGTTCTTTGTAAATCATCAATTTCATTTCCGTATCTGATATCACAATGACTCCATTGGGTTATTATATATCATTAAATTTCAAGCAATGACAGCTGTCTAATAGATGAGCTTTACTTGAGAGGAAATCGGATGACTACAAGAAGAAGAAATCAAAAATGCCGCTGTTATCTATTATAGCCGAAGAAAAGTTGTAGTGTATACCAGGTGACACAGGGTATCGGGCCACCCCTGTAACTTCTGCTTTCGTCATCGGATTTTTCTGAAATTCGGTACAGTTATATAAGCAATTATTTCGGATTTGATCACATTACAATCCAATATGGCGGACTCCCGGTATTTCTGGAAATGCCAGCAATATTGTTTTTTCAAATGAAACACCCTGTATATTTTTACATATTCAAGTTCAACAGGTCGAAACAAGTGCAATCTTTATTTCAAATGTCATTTTTTTCGAAAAAAATTAAATTAAAATTGTTTTTTCATTTTACCTCGTATATAAATGAGATGTGGTCAAGACTATTCACAATGAGTCACACATAACAGAAGAACATAATTTTTTCTGAAAAATTATTTTTTGTGTCACTTATCCAGGAATCAATTCAGCCACATCACTTTTTGATAAAAAAAATTTTTTTCAAATGGAACCCCTATGGGCCACCTACCCGTCTCTCTAAAACATACATTAAGGAACAAAATGAAATATCATTTTTGTTTTTCGGTGCAGTAACAAATTGTATACATTCAAAAATCAACAACTAGAGTTTATGAATTTCCTTGCAGGTAGAATAATTTTTCAACTAGGTAGGCTGTGGAATAAATGACAATTGACATCAAGATTGCACTTGCTTTGACCTGTTGAACTTGAATATGTAAAAATATACAGGGTGTTCCATATGAAAAAACAAAATTGCTGGCATTTCCAGAAAAACCGGAAGTCCGCCATATTGGATTGTAATGTGATCAAATCCGAAATAGTTGCTTATATAACTGTACCGAATTTCAGAAAAATCCGTTGACGAATGCAGAAGTTACAGGGGTGGCCCGATAGCCTCTGTCACCCGGTATATAACTTGCACGGAATGCTAATTTCCTACTCGAATGATTGCAAACTTTATTCTCGTGAGAAATCATTATCATTCCGTGACCGTTAAACAATATACTATTTTCTACGGCTATAACACAAAATTGTTCTTGTTCTACTGTGTTCGATACATCAATGAGGTATACTTTGTATGTCATCAATTTCATTTCCGTATCTGATATTACAATGTCTCCATTGTGTTATTTTTTCGAAAAAATCTCATCGCTCATGGAATGTCAAATTTCAAGCAATGACAGCCCTGTCTAATAGATGAGCATTACTTTAGAGGAAATCAGATAGCTACAAGACGAACAAATCGAAAATGCCGCAGTTATCTGTTACAGCCGTAGAAATATTATAGTGTATTACAACAATATACTATACTCACATTGATATGAAAATATCGATGTACCTATCAATAGAACAAATCAAGGGTGTTTCTTTATATATGTACAAATGAACATGCTTAATCCAGAACTTGTTTGATCAATAATTTGAAGTTTCTCACGATTTATATAATCTACCATATTTCAAATGTACTAGGTGTTCTTTGGACCTTGTTTATATGGGTTGCCCAGTTTTGCCTACATATGTTTCACCACAATCATTACAACTAATTTATTGATATACTGACCTCTCGATTGTGTCCACTTCATTTTCTGGATTGCCAAATAAATTGACTAGTTTTGACTCATAACCTGAGTCTGAAAACCTCAGAACGACATAGTGATTCTTCTTAAATTGTTTGCCATCCACTTGATTATCAACTATTTTGATATCATAACCATTGACAGCAGCCTCTTTATAAACAACACTTTTTTCAAGATTGAATCTATCTTTGTTCAAAGGGAATGACACTAATCTATGTACGAGGAAATTTAAACTTGCCATTCGATGTTGAAAACAGTGATTGAAGTGATTGGCGTGTGTTACCTTCCTGAAACCATCAAATCCTCAGTTGTTTTCGCCATGTTTTATTACAAAAACATCTAAGAAATTTTCACATTCGAAAGTGCATCCAACTAACAAATTTGATGTTTAAGTGTCAATGCGTTTCAAGAGTGTCCGTACTCTTAAATACAGGGTGATCCACGGTGGATGGTGGATGGCCTATTAGAAGAATCTGAAGAACGAAAAGACAGAACATTCTGAAAATTGGGATGCTTCGATAATTGAACATTCTCTATCCGTCTAAAATATTTTTATCGATACAGTGTTGCCACTTCTATCAGAAACAACTAGCAACTTCGTTATCTTGAATAAAGCACCTTGTATTTTATTGCATTCTCAGATTCTTCCTGAAGAGTTGATTTCATCAATGTATCACACTTGGGGTTTAGCAGGAATGATTACAGAGATATAGGGTGTTCATAATCGAGATTTTTCAATTTTAGGATTTTTTGTGTCTAAACTATTCATTATCTATCGAAACGGTTTACATGTTCCTATCTCTTGTCCCATTCACGCCTCAAAGACCGTTTCAGAGTCGTTATATGTCCACCAACATAACAAAATCTCAGTAACGTTAGATATGATTCAAATCTTCTATGTTAACTGGAACGACTTTGTTACAGCAAAAGTACCATTACGGTAACTACAATGAAACGGTAATTATTCATGTAATATCACTGCAGAAACTAAGGAGTTACTACAATGAAACCATATAATGTATTCAGTATTTTCTTTTTATGTATTTCGAGATGTGAAAAGTATATTGTGCATGATATACAAGGTGTTTCATTAATGTTGCACTACACTCTAAGATCTGATTTTCAGGTCAAATAATATCGAAAAAAATCATATAAACATAATATGCCCGACAACAATTCGTTTCTGAGATACAATGAGTTCAATCATGATGTAACTATTTCGAAAACGAGGTAGGTACAAGAAATTCACGTCAAGAAACCTTCCCTCCTTGCTTAGTGGGGAGCATAAAAAGGATTTTTTTAAACATACTTCATGATGTGAGGATATGTTTCAAACGTTATCTATGTCACTTTGCCCCTCTCTTCCCTATGTGCGGTTCATATATAACGAAACACGATGTACAATTCAAGTATTTTTTTTTTATTCATAGGACTACGCTTTGGGGTGTTACAGACGAAGATAGGCATCGTTCAAATATTGAGAAAGTACAGATTGAGCATAAGTCCAAGCACCAAAATGCCGTTGACTTTGGATCCTGGAGTGTTCCTTATAAGATCAGTGGAAACTTTATATCTCCTAGCTGAGAAGATAGCGTACTAAAAACCGCTTCAGCTATCCATATGGCTTCCAGATGGATAGAATAATTATATTCTATATACTTCAATTATTTTACTCATACATTTATACTTTTAACTTTTTACTTTTAAATACTTCTCAGTATCATTATGATAGTTGTTGGTTTCATATATTATATCAATGAAACTTCCACACCGGTATTTTTTCATAAATCAAATTAGGTTTTTCTCCAGAAATCACCATAGCAACGTATGTATATTGGTGAACATGTTTTTTTCTTGGGTTCCTACGCAACAACGAATTGATTCGGTAATTTTTTGACGTTTCAATGATAGAATAATGATATCAAAGTTTTCTACCACTGGTATAGTAATTCGAAGTTTATAAAATACAATGAATTACATTCTGAACTGATATTTTCATTCATTATTCCAGATTTTTTGGGATTTTCTCTTGTCGTTTCTATAAAATAAAAAAATATGAATATTATTCCAAAATACGTGTAGTGAGGACAAATCAGATGATTAGCCCCAAAATGTCACTGCGTTCAAAGTATTTTCCTAACAGAGAGCCCAAAAGGAAAATCCACTAGCTTGTCAGTGACAGTGACGTGGTTTTCTGTTTCGGGCCAGGAGCTATTTCACTTCCAGTCAGCTGCTTATGATCTATAAGGCACAGATCCGACCTGTCCTGGAATACTGTTCCCATATTAGGAGTGCAGCACCCAAACATACCCTGAAAATGTCCCAAAAAGGTCAATTCGTCTCGTGGGTGATGCCTCTCTCACAAACTCATTCATTTCTCTGGAACACCGTAGGAAAGTTGGCGATCTGGCTCTATTTTATAGTCATTTTCAGGGACGATGCTCTTCTGAAATATCAACAATTGTTCCTTCCTTGGCAGTCCCCGCGAGATTAAGCCTTCGAGTTGAGGCTTAGCACCCCTTCGTGGTCACTTTGGAGACCTGCAGAACATCTCTTTCCAAAGACTCGTTCATCCAACGAACAGCGAGGCACTGGAACACATTGCCAAGGAAGGTGTTCCCCGAGGCATATAACCTCCAGAAATTTAAGAAGAACACCAATTCTTACCTCATTTCCCTTGGTTCTCACGATGTTCTCTGAATATTACAGGATATCCCTTTCCGTGGGAACCAGAACATAAAACGAAAAAAATTGAAATTTTTTCCTTTCAATATCAGCCATGAGAATAAATAAAAACGAAATCAGTGATTTTCAGTTGTTTCAAAATATTCCAGGAACGCTTGACAGTTTTTCTAATTGCAAAACGTAATATCGAAGAGGTCTAAATTGAGCAACTCCTGTCTAATTTGATCATTTTTCAATTGTTTACCGTTTAGGAAATACCAATACTGTCCGTGTTAAATCGTCCGGACCCTGTAAATATCCGGGAAATAGTAATTTTCCTAACAAGTGCGGAAAGTGATTCTTTCCCGCACGTGACTGCCGTTGACACGAACGACGCGAAGCGGAGTTCGGGCAAGCAGTCTAGTGCGGGAAAGAAACTTTCCGCATGAGTTAGGAACAATATTTTTTCTACAAGCGTAGGAAATTGATTGAATCGTTCAATTAATTATTCAAGCAAATAGGAACAACTAACAAGAGATATATATTCTCTATCTATTAATTATTAGTAAAAGCTATTGTGAACTTACAGTTTGACGCATTATGTTGGTTCATTGCGGAAGCCAGCAGGCCCATTAGGAGTTTGGTCTCTAGGTTCCAGACATGCTTCTATGAAATGAGCCAAAAATACCTATTCTTCATTCGGTTTTTTCATTTCTTTATTGTTGCACCATTCAATAAAACGCGTGTATAGCTTCTCATACCTTTCTTGAGACTTCGTTGGTTATAACGCATCTGTATCAAATCCCTATAGCTAGAAGTTTTTGATCACATTGTGGCGTTTCCACTGAATCGAAAATGACAGTAACGCTGTGTCTGTCACTTCGACAATTTCAAACTTATTTGAGGTTTGATTGGCATGACAAATTGACGTTTCCCGTCAGATCAATCCAAATCTATAGGGGGATTTTTATGATAATCAATTTTTATTTCTCAATATTTCTTAATTTTTACAATAAATAATGCAATTTGATGGATGATTCTGGACATACTGCAACAAACAAACTTAAACTTTTATATTCCATCACCAACCACTTATATTACTAGCGATTTTATCATATATTTGTTTTCCCGCACTAGTGTGGGAAAATTTTCCCGCATTGTTGCGGGAAAATGACACTTCCCAAACTAAATTGCGTGCGGGTATAGAGTGAATCACGCACGCTTGTAGAAAAAAATTATTTTTCTACAAGCGTGCGTGATTCACCCTATACCCGCACGCAATTTAGTTTGGAAAGTGTCATTTTCCCGCAACAGTACGGGAAAATTTTCCCACACTAGTGCGGGAAATTTTTTCCCGCACTAGTGCGGGAAAACAAAGATATGATATAATCGCTAGATTCGCTAGTAATATAAGTGGTTGGTGATGGAATATAAAAGTTTAAGATTGTTTGTTGCAGTATTGAGTATGTATGTTCAGAATCATCCATCAAATTGCACTATTTATTGTAAAAATTAAGAAATATTGAGAAATAAAAATGGATTATTATAAAAATCCCCCTATAGATTTGGATTGATCTGACGGGAAACGTCAATTTGTCATGCCAATCAAACCTCAAATAAGTTTGAAATTGTCGAAGTGACAGACACAGCGTTACTGTCATTTTCGATTCAGTGGAAATGCCACAATGTGATCAAAAACTTCTAGCTATAGGGATTTGATACAGATGCGTTAATATCACCAACGAAATCTTAAGAAAGGTATGAGAAGCTATACACGCGTTTAATTGAATGGTGCAACAATAAAGAAATGAAAAAACCGAATGAAGAATAGGTATTTTTGGCTCATTCCATAGAAGTGTCTGGAACTCGGTCTGGAACCTAGAGACCAAACTCCTAATGGGCCTGCTGGCTTCCGCAATGAACCAACATAATGCGTCAAACTGTAAGTTCACAATAGCTTTTACTAATAATTAATAGATAGAGAATATATATCTCTTGTTAGTTGTTCCTATTTGCTTGAATAATTAATTGAACGATACAATCAATTTCCTACGCTTGTAGAAAAAATATTGTTCCTAACTCATGCGGAAAGTGTCTTTCCCGCACTCGACTGCATGCCCGAACTCCGCTTCGCGTCGTTCGTGTCAACGGCAGTCACGTGCGGGAAAGAATCACTTTCCGCACTTGTTAGGAAAATTACTATTACTTTTCCCCGTGGGAAAAGAGTTTTTCATGAAAAGTGACATTTAATAACATTTCAACATGAAATATGTCATACTTCTTTTCCGCCACAGAAAAAAAATATTGTATATGTATCCACATTATTATATATTAACGACTTAACAGGGAGCAATATTGTTTCTGTTCTGAAAAATGCAAAACAGATTCTTTAGTTTTTATGTCCTGGTTGTATAAAAGTCATGAGAAAAGATTATAATAACGAAGAAAAAAAAATCCGAATAACAATAATCAGTTCAAAATTCTTAACTATAGAATAAGCTCAAAAAAGTTTTGATTATAAAATATATGAATCGGTTCAGTTAGTTCAACGGCGCCAAATTCAGGTAGGTATGTACCTAAACAATATGATTTTTTCTAAGAATTATTGAAAACCCATCATCATAATGATTAACTAATTCATCTCATTTAATCTTGAAATCGTACTTACTTCAGCAACACCTGTTCAAATCCATAAGTGCTGGGTTAATGGTAAGGACCCCAATCTTGTTTTGATTACGTTAATCCAGGATGTTTCTGATGGCACTTAACAGGTATCTGAATTTGGTTCCCTGAAAATTACAACCTTCAGTTCGCTGACGACACTTCGTTACAAAGAATGAAAAAAACGGTGATTTGAATTGTGTTTTTTTGTGTTTGTGTGAAAATTTATCGAAATGGATTACGAGAATTTTTCCAATGAAGAACTAGACGTGGAAGAAAATGGTGAGTGCTAGATATTACATTAGGAAACTGAGATATACAGGGTGTCCCTAAAAGGTATTCACTGAATCTTACCACATATTCCTCGGACGAAAACATTTCTATACAAGCCAACTTACCTCACTACAACGTTCCATAGTTTGAGCGCTAGACGGGTCTGAAGTTACAATGATTTTCAAATCGTTTATTTTGCTTCATAACTTTGAAACGGGAAAAGTTTGAGGTTTCAGGAAAATAAAAAAGATCACTTCCCAGAATTTGTAATTTTGTTGAGAGTATTTTGCAATTTCAATTATTGATTCAATTATTAAAATTATTTCCATGAAACATCTAGTTGTTTTTTTATTGAAGTTAAGAAAGAATTTCAGGATGCGGACCAGTTATAAACAAAGACAAACCAACTTATCCGATTCAACCTCCAACAGTGATTTCATTTTATTATTTGGTATTCCATTGGGAATGCACGAGTTCACATTTTGGAGAAAACTAACATATAGTGCGGGTGCAAAACCAGTGCACCACCAGGATTACGAATGGAATTTGAAAAAATTCAATACAAATTCAAGTGAGTCACAGAAAAACGTAGCAACGAACTTTGTTATTCAGAATATATCACCCTGTATATTATTGCGTTATCAGATTCTTCCTGAACAGCTGATTTCATCGGTCTATCACACTGGGCATCTATCGGGAGTGAATACAGGGATATACAGGGTGTCCGGAGATAAAACCGACAAAACTTATGGGGTTATAGGAACCGTCAATATGATTGCAAAATGCCATAAATAAATGTCCAAAACCGCTTCCTTACTGACATACAGAGTGATTTCTGGATTTTGACAAAAAATTCAATCCGCCATATCGAATACAGGGGTCAACAGATTAGATTCCTTTGATCGAAACGAATATCAGGACCGGAATAATATTTTTTCCTATGTTGAGTTACTGTGAGAATAATTCACCCGGTATAATGATAACCAAAAATTTGAACTCAGATTTGAAATCTACGGTGAAAATCGTATTGGAATTTGTTGAAGAATCTTCTTCCACTATCTCAGTTATTCCCGAGTTTATTCCGTAATTAATTATTATTTTAATTTTTTTCATTCAAAAATCAATTATTGTCGGATAAAGTACCATCAAAATTGGTAATATAATATATATTTACGAAACCATGACATGGATGCCGTTATTTTCTTCAATCAGTTCGTAAATCGTAGTAAAATGAAATACTCTGATAACCCGAAAACACTGAAGAATTCGTATCGAGACTGGAATGAGGTTTTTTTTTGTTCATGTAAGCTGACCTAGTACATCAATAATCGTCAATAATCTAATTCGGAATCTGAAAAAATCGCATGAGAACTTGTTAAAAAGGACTATGGTGAATTTTTCGAAAATTATATTCGCTCACCAATGACTGAATTTTTGAAAACAAAAAATTCTACTACCCAGTATCACAGAACATTTCCGCAGTGGAGCTCTCCAGCATCAGAAGATACATTTTTGAAAGCGTGCTATAAAATGATTCACTGACTTGCGAACTATTTGAGGGTTATTACTTCTAACACTATCACAGGCAGGAGTAATTTCCTCTAATGAATGTTCTCTATTTCTAATTCCTTCGTTATAAACCTCTTTTCTTTGAATGACCCCATTGAAAAAAAATTTGCGGAGTTAAATCAGGGGATCGCGGTGGCCAATCTACTTCCACGGCCGATCCATCTATTGGGGTAAGTGGCATCGGGATGGTTTCTAACTGGAACTGAGAAGTGAGGTCTAGCACCATCATGCTGAAACCACATACCCCAGGTATTTACACCTTGCAATAGATCCGGTAAAGTATGGACCAGGAAATTTAGTTAAACATCACCAGTTAACCGTCCGTCAACTACGTGAGGTCATATACATAAAATCTGCATTGAAAGTTTTTCCGAACAATGGTATTTGGGTCTTCGTCTGCCCAAATATGCATATTTTTCTAGAATTATTAATTCCATCCCTGGTAAATTGGCTCTCGTCGGTAAATAACATTTTGTTGATGGTCCTTCTTATGTGCTGGTTCTAAAAAAGAGGATTATCATTTATAGCTTCCAGTATTTGCTCTTCTTGCTGAATATTGTTTCTTCGAGCACCTTCTCGTCCTTCATTCGATAGAACTTTCCATTTTTTCCTAATACTTTGAAGTACCAAAACAAATGTTGAGTGTTGTGTGGTACGCGATAGCGACACAAATAAAATATCTGCATATTCCCCATTATAGTAAAATGAAATGGCATCATAAACACACGCACACTCAAAACTATAGATTAATCTTGAAAAACACTGGAATAATGGATGAACACCAATAAAACAAACGATTATTACAGCTAAACAATAGTTTTCCATAATGAAATTCTGAATTTGACACAAGAAGCCTACTGTATTCTTTGTACACGAACATTATGAGCTGAATGCATACGGATTCATCATTTGAAAGTTCAGTCCGATCCTTTCATAACAAGTTTTTAACTTTCCTCAGTGGATTTCGAATCTGCGATTAGATTATTGTTATACTAGATCAGTCATTCTTACAGGAATATAATTATAAAAAACCTCATTCCAGTCCTGATACGAATTTATTCTTCAGTTTTTTAGGGTTATGAGAGTATTTCATTTCACTACGATTCACGAACTGATTGAGGAAAATAACGACATTCAAGTCATGGTTTCGTAAATATTCATTATATTACCAATTTTGATGGTACTTTATCCGACAATAATTGATTTTTGAATGATAAAAATTGAAATTATAATTAATAACGGAATAACTGAGATAGTGCCAGATGATTCTTCAACAAATTCCTATACGATTTTTACCGTAGTTTCCGAATCTGAGGCCAAATTTCTGGTTATTATTATACAGGGTGAGTTATTCTCACAATAACTCAACATGGGGAAAAAAGTAATATTCCGGTCCTGATATTGGTTTCGATCAAATGGCTACTTGTTGATGCCCTTCAGTATAATTTGTGTACTGAATTTGAATCTAATCGGTTGACCCCTGTATTCGATATGGCGGATTGAATTTTTTGTCAAAATCCAGAAATCACTCTGTATGTCAGTAACGAAGCGTTTTTGGACATCTGTTCATGGCATTTTGCAATCATATTGACAGTCCCTATAACCCCATAAGTTTTGTCGGTTTTATCTCCGGACACCCTGTATAGATCGAGGGTGTAAAAATCGAGATTTTTCAACTTTGTGTTGAAACTATTCATTATTGGTTCAAAAGGCTTTCATGTTCCTGAGTCAACTTTCCATTCACGAACAATTGATATTTGATTGGAACAGATACCAGGTGATCAGAATGTGGAATTATAAACCACCCTGTATTTGTTTCAATTAAATGTCAGTAGATAATACATCGAATGTTGAGATGAAGACATGGAAGCCGTTTCTACCAATGAATGATTAATAGTTTCGACGCATAAAATTACTAAATTTCAAATATCTCGATTTTTCACACCCTATATTTTGGAATTTGCTCTCCAGGAAGATTCCAAAAATTCAATAAAATATAGGGTGTTATCCATTCGAAATAACAAAGTTATTGCTACTTTCTGATAAAAGCGGCAACGCCGAAGCGCTGAAAATATTTTAGGTCGATAGAACAGACTGATAACACAAGAAACTGAATTTTCAAACTGATCCTATGACCCGTTCTCCAGAAATGTTCAAGAGGTCATCGAGTTTGGGGCACCCTGTAAATATATATTATACACACACATACCGAACAACATAGTTACATGACGTTTCAAGAACGTCGTGTCAACGTCATCTTTCACCCATCCAAGTGATGTTCACTGATAGTCGTAATGATGACGTGATTATCACGTCAGAGAAAATACGTCATAGTGACGTCAGAACTCACCAACTGGGTACTTCACATCAGTGACGTGACCTGCTAAGAAACTCTCAATACATGCCACCAAACCCAGATTTATACCCATATCCAGCTTTCCTCCCCAACTATATGTTCTCTGCTAGCTAGTTTTCTCTCAAACAGGTCTCTCCATGTAGTGGTCGGCGGAGTTTCATCTGACTCTCTTATCATAAATGCTGGTGTTCCGCAAGGATCAATTCTAGCACTAACAAGATTTCTACTCCATATCAACGATCTGTTGGAAGCAACTTCATGTCCAGTATACAACTTCGCGGATGATAGTAGCCTCCATACCGCCTTCTCTTCCAGGGCTCCAATACCAGCCAGGCAAATCAGAAACGAACGAGGAAGAAATGTTGACAACATAAATATAGACTTGGCAACAATTCTCGAATGGGGATCCAATAACTTATTGGTTTCAATGCAAACAAAACACCAGCATACCTTTTCTCTAGAAAAGCGATCTCACTATGCCCAACATGAGCTAGTCAGTAGTAACCATACATTTGAAGACATCCATTTCAATGCTTATTGGTATTACTATCAGCAATAACCTTTCTTGGGAAAATCACGTGAGATCAATTGCTAAAAGTGCATCCCAAAAACTTGGTTTCCTGTTTCGGGCCAGTAGCTATTTCACTTCCAATCAGAAACTTATGATCTATATTTGGCACAGATCCGACCTGTCCTGGAGTACCATATTTGGAGTGCAGCAACCAAACATATCCTGAAACTGTTGGATTCTGTCCAAAAAAGGGCAATACGTCTCGTGGGTGATGCCTCGCTCACAAACTCACTCACTTCTCTGGAACACCATAAAAAAGTTGGCGATCTGGCTCTATTTTATAGATATTTTCATGAACGATGCTCTTCTGAAATATCAACAATTGTTTCGCCCTTGGCAGTCCCCGCGAGATTAACCCGTCGAGTTGAGTCTTCGCACATCTTCGTGGTCACTTTGGTGACCTGCAGAACATCTATTTTCAAAGACTCGTCCATCCAACGAACAGCGAGGCTCTGGAACATAATGCCAAGGGAGGTGTTCCTCGAGGCATATAATCTCCATAATTCCAGAATAACCTTATTTCGTGGGAACCAGAACATAAAAAAAAGAATACACCTCTGAAGTTACTGTAGTGATTTTTAGATTAACTTTATCTTCATCAAATGACTATTCAGGTCGAGTCGTCCAGTGTTACTGCGAAGACCACTGTCCATTCGGGGACACCAAAGGCATTTGCGAAATAACCAGTCCCGGAGGAAAATGTTACGCTTCTGTCGTCGTCGAGGTGGATGAATATGGAGACGAATATCCTAAGATGTCGTTCGGATGTCAACCGGACGCTCAGATGGCGGTACTGCAGGTAAATAATGAAGATTATGGAATGGTAGAGTGAAAACCACATACAAAATTGATCAAAATCAATATTTGAGGCCGGTTGATCAGTCCATGGTGAAACCCAAAGATTTATAAAATCCAAATTGGATTTGAATGGTAGGTTATATGAAAAATTTTACTATGGACAAGGAAATTCAAGCTTCATCAGGTGAAATATTGGTACGATTAAATTAACTGGAGATTTTAGACCTTCTGTCGATATGTCTCAAACAAAATTACTTTCAATTTATTGACAACAAAATATATTCCGCATCAAAAGGGTTGATGAAAGAAAATCCACTGAGCCGCCTTTACTTAAATGAAATTTTCATAGATGAATTGAAGCGAATAATAGATAAAAATCCATCGATAAAACAATTTTTGTATTGGTATAGATACGTAGATGACGTGATAGTATGCTTTGAAGGAACCAATAGACAATAAGACACTTCTCACCAATATATTGATACTATTCTTTCAAACATAAAATTCACAATATAAATAGAAACAGAAAAGTCAATCAATTTGCTAGATTTGGGAATAATAAGTAGAATTAATGATGAGAATTATTTTCCAATTTTCCATAAACGTTTCCACACTGATATCACTATTCATAATAATTCAACACACCCTCATCAACAAGAAATTGAAGCATACCCACGAGCTAGTGAATGTCTCTCTTTCACAATTAAATTTCAATGAAGAACTCAATATCGTAAAACAGATAGCAGTCAACAACGGATACAACGTTAATCTGATAGACAGAATTCTTTCTGAAAAAACTCCATAATGAAGCTATTCAACAAGTTTATCCTACCATCAGAAATAATAATAAATATTATAGAACTTCAGCCTATTTCGGATCATCAACTGAAAAATTAGCTTCATTTCTACATAAACAGGACTTAAAAGTAGCATTTAGAACAAACAACACGTTGGGAAAAATCAGAGGGGTATACAAACTCAACTGTGGATCTTGTCCTGAGGTATATTGGTCAGACAGGTCGTATGTTCAATCAGCGCATTCATGAACATAAGATGAATTTTCTGGGAAAAGAAACAAATTCAACATATGTCAACCATATATTGAAAGAAAACCATAGTTTTGATGATAATTCAGAAATTCTACGCGTAGAGAATAACGTAATGGGACTCAATCGTTTTGAATCATTAGAAATCAACAAACTCGAGAATTCAAACAAGCCAAGGTCAGTTTAGTTTATTGTGCCAGAGTATTTCACCTGATGAAGCTACTGTGTTAGCGAAACATGTGGCGTGATTAAAAATTTTGTGAAAATCTTATCGTTTGTGAAGATTTTATATTTGCTTTGGATTCCCATAAAGTAACGGTCGAGTCAATTAAAAAAAAAAGTATAATGTTGGATTCATTTCTGAAATCTTCAACTGGTTATGGAATGAAATACAGGGTGTTCCATTTGAAAAATGAACTATATGTACCTACCCTGTAGATGGTTTGTTCCGAACACCCTATCTATCTGATGTAGCAATCCAAAATACGAAAAATCATTTTAAGTTTTCAAATCGGTCCGAAAATAACTGAGAAAGAGGAGGGGCATGATGGCGAATCACCCTGTACATGAACAATGTCAATCAAAACAAAAATATTTCGTGAAAGAGTATATACAGGGTGTTTCATTTGGGAAAGGTGAATACTTCAACTGTCGATAGGGATCTCTGAGGTGATTTCAGAAAACCCATGGATAATGTCTTCCAACATCTTATAATCGAGATACGGGATGTTCTATTAATTCAGCCTATATATGCATGTTGTCTCATAACTTCCCAACCAACCTGTATATTATTTCGTTTGCCCTCTTTGAATAATGAAAAAGTAAATAACTATTTTTTGGAAAATTGGTACACTTATTCAATCTATCCCATCGAATTGATTGAGGTATCAACAAAATATAGAATCCAGGTCCGGCTTCACATGAAATTCACAAACTCTTTTTCTGCCCGAAAACAACACCCTATACATTTGAATTTGAAGATTTTTGCCATATCTGAAAAGAGCGTCAAAATATCTATTCAACGATGCACAGACGATTTTAAATACTCATATATGATGTGCTCAAAATATTATCTTTGCTCATTTTTGAGGCAAGCGACAATAATGATTACAAAGACAATATACAACACAAAATTCAAAATACGACATACTTATATATACCCACTACGTAACAATACAATGAATGATGAAAAAAGGAAAAACACTTTCTAGTACACTGACTACATATACCCACTCCCATAAAAACCAGTATTCACCTTTCCCAATGAAACAACTTTTTTATTAAAATCCTCCATGCAGTGTGAAGTTGGCTGGTGTTAGCCAAGGGATGTTTGTTCTGTGATTGAGGCCTTATAGTCAATGAATCTTATCTCCTGATGCCACGCTCCTATTACGATGAGAAATCACAGAAGTGCGCCCAGTTGGGTTAGGATTGAATACGAACATTGGCGTTGATGGAAATTCATTAATGGTATAAGTGGAAATGAAAAAGCTGCAAACCCTATCAAATCGTTCAGTCTCTTCGGACTCGCGATCGCTGACCATATACAGTGTGTCCCACTTATCATGCTCACCATGGGTATCTTTTTAACGGTGAGAGATACGAGGTCGGTTAAATGACACCAAATGTGAAGTTTGTCAAGGCCAACTATATAATGTGAAAAAATATTTTGATAAAATCTATTCGATTTTGTTTTATACGCAAAAAACAGATTTTGATCATTTTCATGTCTCCTCCGTTACTTCTTTATTTATGGAAATATTCAAATAGGAATTTCACATTCTCATGGCAGTTTTTCAAAGTGATTTCTAAAAAAATATGAAATTTATACCAACTCTTCTAGAATTTGAGATATCAGCACCAACTTTAGTTTTTCAAGTGTAGGACAAAGCTCACGATGACTTAGTTACAAATAACTTTTTTTTCTCTCACAGATGATATGTCGCAGTAATAGTTTTGTGTTGATAACAACGGAGTTATCATCATTTATACAAAAACAAAAAATTATTTGGAAGCTGCTATCTTGAATTTATAAATTTTAACAAAAAAATCATGATCTCCGACCTCAAAAATCCCTACTTACCAATTTTGAATGGAATCGGACCAAATCTTGTCCGCCATCTTGAAGCAGCCATTTTTTTTTATTTCAACAAAAATTCCATAATGTATTGTCACCGAAATTATGAACACCTGCCAAATTTCAAGTTAATCGGAGTTATGGAATTTTTGTTTAAATTAAAACAAAATGGCTGCTCCAAGATGGCGGACAAGATTTGGTCCGATTCCATTCTAGCAGCTTCCAAATAATTTTTTGTTTTTGTATAAATGACGATAACTCCGTTGTTATCAAACACAAAACTATTACTGCGACATATCATCTGTGAGAGAAAAAAAAGTTATTTGTAACTAAGTCATCGTGAGCTTTGTCCTACATTTGAAAAACTAAAGTTGGTGCTGATATCTCAAATTCTAGAAGAGTTGGTATAAATTGCATATTTTTTTAGAAATCACTTTGAAAAACTGCCATGAGAATGTGAAATTCCTATTTGAATATCTTCATAAATGAAGAAGTTACGGAGGAGACATGAAAATGATCAAAATCTGTTTTTTGCGTATTAAACAAAAACGAATAGATTTTATCAAAATATTTTTTCACATTATAGTTGGCCTTGACAAACTTCACATTTGGTGTCATTTAACCGACCTCGTATCTCTCACCGTTAAAAAGATACCCATGGTGAGCATGATAAGTGGGACACACTGTATACATGCACAGGACATGCCAAAAATGAATCGGAATTGGCCATAATGTTTCTCTTTTTTTTCTCTTGAAGCGCCCGAAATGAAATTCCTATAATGTTCGAAGAACATCATGCATACCTAGGGAGGATAGGGAGGACAGGTAGGTGTTGGAATTATTCCTGAACTTTTGAAGGTTTTAATTTCGAAATTATGTACAGAACAGATACAGGACTCATTCTGATCCTAACCACACTGATTATTCATTTAGTTCTGTCTCTACGTCCTTCTGTATTAATAATGCTTTGTTCCAGTGCAAAGGACCCCTGATACCGCACCTAGACAGCGAGATTATCGAGTGCTGCAACGACGCCAACTTCTGCAACAAATACCTATTTTATTAATCGGAATGTTTTCATATTTTTGCCAAATACACAAAAAAATTCGATTGAATTCGAGGAACTCGTGCTACTACATTCGCAAATTGCATATTTGCAATTGAAAATTCTGCAAATTTGACGGGCGTGCCTGATTCCGCACCTGGATAGCAAGAACATCGAGTGCTGCAACGACGCCGACTTCTGCAACGAATATCTATTCTGACGGATAGATTTCTTTCAATTTTCATTACTCAAACGCCTCCATTATTGCAAAGCTATTTTATCAATCGGAATGTTTCAATATTTTTGCCAAATACACAAGAAATATCGATCTAATTCGAGGGACTCGTGATACTGTCTTTGCAAATTGCATATTTGTAATTGGAAATTCTACAAATTTGACGGGCATGCCTGATTCCGCACCTGGACAGCAAGAACATCGAGTGCTGCAACTACGCCGACTTCTGCAACGAATATCTATTCCGACGGGTAGATTTCTTTCAATTTTCATTACTCAAATGCCTCCATTATTGCAAAGCTATTTTATCAATCGGAATGTTTCAATATTTTTGCCAAATACACAAGAGATATCGATCTAATTCGAGGGACTCGTGATACTGTCTTTGCAAATTGCATATTTATAATTGGAAATTCTGCAAATTTGACGAGCATGCCTGATTCCGCACCTGCACAGCAAGAACATCGAGTGCTGCAACGACGCAGACTTCTGCAACGGATATCTATTCTGACGGATAGATTTCTTTCAATTTTCATTACTCAAACGCCTCCATTGTTGCAAAGCTATTTTATCAATCGGAAATCGGAATGTTCCAATATTTTTGCCAAATACACAAGAAATATCGATCTAATTCGAGGGACTCGTGATACTGTCTTTGCAAATTGCATATTTGTTATTGGAAATTCTGCAAATTTGACGGTCATGCCTGTTTCCGCACCTGCACAGCAAGAACATCGAGTGCTGCAACGACGCCGACTTCTGCAACGATTATCTATTCCGACGGATAGATTTCTTTCAATTTTCATTACTCAAACGCCCCCATTGTTGCAAAGCTATTTTATCAATCAATCAATCAATCAATCAATTTATTCAATTCAATTCAGATACATACATACATGTTCTTTTATATTGTTAATGTTACATATCGTAAATAAATAGTATCTTATTACATTAAATTGCGAAAAAAAAAATATTAATAACTAAATAAGTAAATAAGTGGTGGTGTTCAGTTCTTGGGAGACGCCTAAGCAGAGCTTGTGTTGCGTATTTTCCCAGATCTGGACACAACCATGAAGGTAAATAGAAAAAAAATAAGATGAAGGAAACTATTCATTCATTTCAGTAAAAAATATTAATTAAGAATCAACAAAAATCAATGATCAACTCACAGGAGGATCGGACAAGACACTCAGGCAAAAGGGAGACAGCTTCAAATAAGATATTAATAAATTATTCGGACATGGTTCAGTAGATAGATTCAAGTGTTTGTATTAGGGAATCAAAGTTGTGATCGACGAAGGATCTGATTGTTTTCTTGCGTTTTTTAAAGCTTTTTATATTTCGTAGTTCAATGGGAACTTGATTGACAAGTTTTGGTCCAAAGAAAGTAACAAACCTTTGGGTATATACATTTTTACAAAAAGGAACACTAATTGTTCTCTCGGATCTGGATCGGGTGTCATGTATGTGTCTTAGATATGTAAGAGGCGAGTTCATCGTCCATGGTATACAGTGATAGGTGTATAATTTTCTGATATTAAATAAGCTAGCCTCCTTGTATAAGCTCTCAGTTGGATGTCTTCTGTCTCTTTTCAGTACTATTTTAAGCAAGGTGTTTTGTATTACTTGAAGATTATGTAAGTTTGTTTTATTCAACCCACCCCAAACAATAATACAGTACCTTATAACTGATTCTGCTAATGCATCGTATGTCATTAGTAATAAATGTTTATTTACTTTGTCTCTGAGTTCGTAGAATTTGAAAATGAGTTTTCTAAGTCTTTTCACGAGAAAGTCTACATGTTTGTCCCAGCGTAAATGTTGGTCAAGCATCACACCCAGATATTTTATGGAATCCGTTTTTTTTATACGTGGACAGGAGCAAATTGAAGGATTTTGGCAGTTGGGGGTATGTATGAAAATGTTTTCCTCTAGTGGTTGGTCTCTTGTTGTTGGTGAGAAGGTCAAGAATTTGGTTTTATCGATGTTTAGACTCAGAAGACTAGAATTCAGCCAGGAAAATATAATGTTTAATCCGTTTTGTGCTTTCGCATAAGTAGAGTCCCATGTGTTATCATAGAAAACCAAGGCCGTGTCATCAGCAAACGAAATAATATCACCCTCAATGTTTTTCAAGTTGTAAATGCTGTTGATATATATTAGGAACAGAATTGGTCCCATGACAGTGCCCTGGGGAACACCCATGGCGACTGGCTGTGGCTGGCTATAGATATCATTAATTTTGACCCTTTGGGTTCGACCTTGTAAATAATCGGCTAATAATTCCAAAGACTTGCCTCTCACTCCCACATTTCCTAATCTCTGTAACAAGATATCGTGATTGACAGTGTCGAAGGCTTTGGCCAAGTCTAAAAACACTGCTAGACACTTTTTCTCTTCATTGGCGCTTTTCAGTATTTTATTCACTAAGTGAAACACGGCGTTTTCCGTTGACATATTTTCTCTGAATCCATATTGGCATGGTGATAAAATCTCATGTTTTTCCAGGAAATTTACAAGTCTACTTTTTAAGCATTTTTCAAAAAGTTTCGCAAAGTTATTTATTACCGATATGGGTCTGTAGTTTGTGGCGAGTTTTTTGTCTCCGGCTTTGAAAATAGGCGTTGTGGTGGCTTCTTTGAAATTATTTGGAATCGTGCCATTTACAAAACATTTGTTAAATATATGACATAGGGGATCAAGGAAGTATTGGTGACATTTTTTTATTAAATAAACAGACACTCCATCAGGACCAGCAGAAGTATTGTTTTTTAAACTAGAAATCAGATTCGTTAGTTCATTGCGTGTTACTGGATGGAGGAATAGGGACTCTTGAATATTGAATTTTTGTTCGGGAATGGGAGTAGTCTTTTTATTGATCTTATTTGCCATGTTCAGACCAATGTTGGAAAAAAAATTATTAAAATAGTTGGCTTTGCTGAGGTCATCTGCAATTTTGTCCCCATTTTCATCAATAATGTCATATTTGGTACTGTCCCTAGGTGACTTTTTTTATTTGTTATTTCATTAATTTGTTGCCAAATTTTTTTTTATTTTTATTCGCCTCTTTTATTTTATTCATATAGTATTCATTTTTGGTTTCTTTAAGGAGTGTTTCAATAGTTTTGCCAAATACACAAGAAATATCGATCTAATTCGAGGGACTCGTGATACTGTCTTTGCAAATTGCATATTTGTAATTGGAAATTCTGCAAATTTGACGGTCATGCCTGTTTCCGCACCTGCACAGCAAGAACATCGAGTGCTGCAACGACGCCGACTTCTGCAACGAATACCTATTCCGACGGATTGATTTCTTTCAATTTGTATTACTCAAACGAACTCATTTGGATCAAACCTTTTTTATAAATCGGAATGTTTTCATATTTTTGCCAAATACACAAAAAAAACTCGATTGAATTCGAGGGACTCGTGCTACTACTTTCGCAAATTGCATATTTGCAATTGAAAATTCTGCAAATTTGACGGGCGTGCCTGATTCCGCACCTGGACAGCAAGAACATCGAGTGCTGCAACGACGCCGACTACTGCAACGATTATCTATTCCGACTCCGACGGATAGATTTCTCTCAATTGTCATTACTCAAACGCCTCCATTGTTGCAAAGCTATTTTAATAATTGGTATGTTTCAATAGTTTTGCCAAATACACAAGAGATGTCGATCTAATTCGAGGGACTCGTGATACTGTCTTTGCAAATTGCATATTTGTAATTGGGAATTCAACAAATTTGACGGGCATGCCTGATTCCGCACCTGGACAGCAAGAACATCGAGTGCTGCAACGACGCCGACTTCTGCAACGAATATCTATTCCGACGGATAGATTTCTTTCAATTTTCATTACTCAAACGCCTCCATTGTTGCAAAGCTATTTTAATAATTGGGATGTTTCAATATGTTTGCCAAATACACAAGAGATATCGATCTAATTCGAGGGACTCGTGAAACTGTCTTTGCAAATTGCATATTTGTAATTGGAAATTCTGCAAATTTGACGGGCATGCCTGATTCCGCACCTGCACAGCAAGAACATCGAGTGCTGCAACGACGCCGACTTCTGCAAAGAATATCTATTCCGACGGGTAGATTTCTTGAAATTTTCATTACTCAAACGTATTCATTTGGGGCAAACCTATTTCATCAATCGGAATGTTTTCATATTTTTGCCAAATACACAAAAAATATCGATTGACTTTGAGGGACTCGTGATGCTACCTTTGCAAATTGCATATTTGTAATTGAAAATTCTGCAAATTCGACGGGCATGCTTAACCTTGTGTTTCAGTGCAAAGGATCCCTGATACCTCACTTGGACAGCAAGAACATCGAGTGCTGCAACAACACCGACTTCTGAAACAAATACCTGTTCCAACGGATTGATTTCTTCAAATTTTCATCACTCAAACGTCTTCATTTGGGGCAAACCTATTTTACCAATCGGAATGTTTTCATATTCTTGCTAAAGACACAAAAAATATCGATTGACTTTGAGGGACTCGTGATGCTACCTTTGCAAATTGCATATTTGTAATTGAAAATTCTGCAAATTCGACGGGCATGCTTAACCTTGTGTTTCAGTGCAAAGGATCCCTGATACCTCACTTGGACAGCAAGAACATCGAGTGCTGCAACAACGCCGACTTCTGAAACAAATACCTATTCCAACGGATTGATTTCTTCAAATTTTCATCACTCAAACCTCTTCATTTGGGGCAAACCTATTTTACCAATCGGAATGTTTTCATATTCTTGCCAAAGACACAAAAAATATAGATTGAATTCGAAGGACTTGGGCTACTACCTTTACAAATTGCATATTTTTAATTGAAAATTCTTCTGCAAATTTGACGGGCATGCTTAACCTTGTGTTTCAGTGCAAAGGATCCCTGATACCGCACCTGGACAGCAAGAACATCGAGTGCTGCAACAACGCCGACTTCTGCAACAAAGACCTCTACCCGATGTACACCATCGAGTCCAGCCCAAGCCTGCACCAGACGCTGCCATACATATCCCTCGCAGCCTCTTTCGGCGTCTCTCTCCTCATTCTTTCCATAGCCAGCGCGATCTTGCTGGCGAAATACCGCAAAGCGGTGGCGAAAAACCGGCAGGTGGAAGCAGAAGAGGCCACGGCGGGTGATGGCAACGTTGAGGAGGAGAAGGGTGCTGTGGAACCTTGCGCAGAGTTGAAGTTGCCGGCTAATCTTGCGCAGCTGATCGAGCAGTCGAGCGGATCGGGTTCGGGGCTGCCTCTGATGGTGCAGAGGACGATCGCTAAACAAGTTGAGATGGTGAGGAGGTTATGGAATTTGAGCCTATGCAATACCGTGAAATTTCACTTTTTTGGCGACATTTATCGGGAATGTCGAGGAATGTGCCATTGTCGTTCAAAATGTGAACCTAGTTAGTCCGGTTTACTAAAAAAATGTAAATTGTTCATCTGTTTCGGTTGAATATTTGTCAAAGTGGGCAGTTCAAGGTTGACGCTTCCATCTATGTTCTCTGCTAGCTAGTTTTTTTCTCAAACAGGTCTCCCCATGTAGTGGTCGACGGAGTTTCATCTGACTTTCTTATCATAAATGCTGGTGTTCCGCAAGGATCAATTCTAGCACCAACACTATTTCTACTCCATATCAACCATTTGTTGGAAGCAACTTCATGTCCGGAACTCAGCTTCGCGGATGATAGTACCCTCCATACCGCCTTCTCTTCCAGGGCTCCAATACCAGCCAGGCAAATCAGAAACGAACGAGGGAGAAATGTTGACAACATAAATATGGCAACAATTCTCGAATGGGGATCCAATAACTTGGTAGATTTCAATGCAAACAAAACACAAGCATGCCTTTTCTCTAGAAATGTCGATCTCACTGTGCCCAACATAAGCTTGTCAGGAGTAACCATACCTTTGAAAACATCCATTTCGATGCTTGGTATTACTATCAGCAATAACCATTCGTGGGAAAATCACGTGAGATCAATTGCTAAAAGTACCTCCCAAAAACTTGGTTTTCTGTTTCGGGCCAGGAGCTATTTCACTTCCAGTCAGCTGCCCAAACATACCCTGAAACTGTTGGATTCTGTCCAAAAAAGGGCAATTCGTCTCGTGGGTGACGCATCGCTCACAAACTCACTCACTTCTCTGGAACACCGTAGAAAAGTTGGCGATCTGGCTCTATTTCATAGATTTTTCCATGGACGATGCTCTTCTCAACAATTGTTCCTCCCTTGGCAGTCCCCGCGAAATTAACCCGTCGAGTTGAGGCTTCGCACCCCTTTGTGGTCACATTGGCGACCTGCAGAACTTCTCTTTCCAAAGACTCGTTCATCCAACGAACAGCGAGGCTCTGGCGAACCATTACCAAGGGACGTGTTCCCCGAGGCATATAACCTCCAGAAATTTAAGAAGAACACCAATTCCTACCTTATTTTCCCTGGTTCTCGCGATGTTCTCTGAACATTACAGGATATTCCTTTTCGTGGGAAGTATAGAGAAGATTCTTTCCGACTGTTGTTTTTGTTTGCGCTGTTATGACTCACGTCAACTCAGACAAATCACAATTTCGATTAAAATTTCGAGGTTGCAATGTATGTAAGTGGAATTTATACAGAGTGGGCCATTGAAAACGAAACAGCGGCTCAGTAGGTCGGCAAAACCGGATTATAAAAAAAATCTGAAACACGTCAGCTACATTTTCGAAGGGGACATCCTTCTAAAATATTTTCAGCCCTGCGGCGTTGCCGCTTCTAACGAAAAGAAACAACAACTTTGTTATTTCAAATAGAACACCTTGTATTTCATTGCATTTTTAGATTCTTCCGGAAGAGCTGATTTCATCAATGCATCACACTTGGGGTCTAGCTGGAATGATTACAGGGATATAGGGTGTTCAAAATCGAAATTTTTCAACTTTAGGATTGTTTTGTATCGAAACTATTCATTATTGGTCAAAACGGCTTTCATGTCCCTATCTCAACTTTTGATTTACTATCTACTGACATTTATGTGAAACAAATACAGGGTTGTTCAAGATTCAGACTTATGATCACCCTGTATCTGTTACAATTAAATGTCAGTAGATAGTAAATCAAAAGTTGAGATAGGGACACAAAAGCCGTTCTGACCAATAATGAATAGTTTCGACACAAAAAAATCCTAAAGTTGAAAAATCTCAATTTTGAACACTTTATATCCCTGAAACCATTTTAGCTAAACCCCAAGTGTGATGCATTGATGAAATCAGCTCTTCGGGGAGAATCTGAAAATCCAATAAAATACAAGGTGTTCCATTTGAAATAACAAAGTTGTTGCTTCTTTTCATTAGAAGCTGCAACGCCGCAGGGCTGAAAATATTTTAGAACGATGTTTCCCTCGAAAATGTAGTTGACGTGTTTCAGATTTTTTTCATAATCCCGTTTTGCCGACCTACAGAGCCGCTGTTTCGTTTTCAATGGCCCACTCTGTATATTCTACTGCTAAATTCAAATTCGTTAGGCTTTGGTTTGTTGATTCATTTTTGTGTTTGATTTAAGCAAATTAACAGTAGTTGGAAGTATGATATTTTTTAACACTTATAAGGTGGATTCATGCAAGCAAAATTTAAAACTTAAATGAATTTTAAACTTAAACCAATAATATAAAACTATGAAATGTAATGTAGGTGTGTAGGTAGAAACTAAAAAATTAAAACTAAAATTAAAACTAAGAAGATGGCCAACATTCAACTAAGAAATTAATTTCTTCCATAATTCACCACAACGAATGCGTCAAATAATAACTAGCCGCGCTGAAAGAAGAATAAACAGCTGATGAAAGGTTATTGCATGAACACCCATACATTTTTAATTTAAAATTCGTTCAAATCTTAAATTCATTATAATTTAGTTGATGTTGCATGAATCCACCTTTATTTATCGATATTGACGAGCGTTGAGGCAGGTGTGATATAGTACATGCACGTCCGGGCGTAATGTGGCACTTCATCACCAGAATTGGAGGGTGTGAAGTATCACTTTAGGCAATAAAGGCGTACAGCGGACGGTGAAGTAGTCCAGCGGGTGGTAAAGTAGGTGATCGGGCGGTATAGCTATTCACCTACCGAGGGACAAAGTAGTAATTTTCCGAAAGTTTATTTTATCTATTGGAGCGCACAAAAGGAAATTCCTATAAAGTCCGTGGCACATCGAGCGTACCTAGAGAGGATAGTGAGAGGAAGTAGGTGTTGGAATTTTTTTACTCTCGAAGGGACAATGTTTTTTCTACGAGTGATTTTGTTCAGATTATTCATAAAAAAAGGTTTTTAATCAAAAAGATTTTATAATAATGCTACAAAATGACTCATGAATCAGAAAAGTTACATAGATCATTTAGTTAGTCCCAACCATAGACGACATTTCAAACAATACAAAATTCAATATCCGGTAAAAGCGGAAGTGATATTCAATTATATTTTTCATGGGAAATACGGGTTTTAAGGAACCATATCCTATATATCCAAATGTTTAACATCAAAATCATTTCAATGACGCCTTGTCCAATTATTTCATTGCCACCCGGTATATATCAAAATATTATACCTCTGAAAACGGCAGGGGCCCACGTCACGTCAAAATTGTACGTCAATAATTTGAATGATGAATACGACACATAATAATAGACATATTTCAATACCTTCATTCATATCAGGTTCACTACTATTGTTTTATTAGGATCAACACTACGCCTTGCGAATGAAAAATTTCCTTGTCAAAGAAAGTCACTTCTGTGTGTTAAATTTTAGCTCCTAGAAACTAAAATTGTTGCCTAGCAATTAACATACCTATTTTTGTGTCAGTATTAAAAACGTCAACTTCAATAAAAAAATATTTTGAAACTTATCATTGCCAAACTAACAAATGATACATAGATTTTCCAAAGAACTTAATGTGGGTGAATATTCCAAAAAAACATATAAAATACTCATTCCACGTTTGGGTTTTTATTATTTTCAGGAAAGGGTAATTGGAAAAGGCAGATATGGTGAAGTGTGGCTAGCAAAATGGCGAGGAGAGAAAGTAGCGGCTAAAATATTCTTCACGATCGAAGAGAAATCTTGGATCAGAGAAACTGGAGTTTATCAGTCTGTCCTCATGAGACACGATAATTTGCTGGGATTCATAGCGGCTGACATTAAAGGTATGTATATACAGTGGTTTTCTTCCAATAATCTTCACCTCAATCCAACCAAACCAACTTAGTGAGATTTCATACACGGCAAAAAAATGCAGGACCTATAAATCTGGTCGGTGATAATGCAAATGTTGAACAAAATAAATCTATCACATTTTTAGGTGTCTATGGATAAATGTCTCAAATGGAGATCTAAATGCTCGAGCCTTGTCTCAAAATTATCTTCTCTTACATTTCTATCGAGAAATATGAGATTCTTATTGAATAAACAACAACTTTATTTATTTATTTATTTATTTATTTATTTATTTATTCATTCATTCATTCATTCATTCATTCATTCATTCATTCATTCATTCATTCATTCATTCATTCATTCATTCATTCATTCATTCATTCATTCATTCATTCATTCATTCATTCATTCATTCATTCATTCATTCATTCATTCATTCATTCATTCATTCATTCATTCATTCATTCATTCATTCATTCATTCATTCATTCATTCATTCATTCATTCATTCATTCATTCATTCATTCATTCATTCATTCATTCATTCATTCATTCATTCATTCATTCATTCATTCATTCATTCATTCATTCATTCATTCATTCATTCATTCATTCATTCATTCATTCATTCATTCATTCATTCATTCATTCATTCATTCATTCATTCATTGATTTATTTATTTATTTATTTATTTATTTATTTATTTATTTATTTATTTATTTATTTATTTATTTATTTATTTATTTATTTATTTATTTATTTATTTATTTATTTATTTATTTATTTATTTATTTATTTATTTATTTATTTATTTATTTATTTATTTATTTATTTATTTATTTATTTATTTATTTATTTATTTATTTATTTATTTATTTATTTATTTATTTATTTATTTATTTATTTATTTATTTATTTATTTATTTATTTATTTATTTATTTATTTATTTATTTATTTATTTATTTATTTATTTATTTATTTATTTATTTATTTATTTATTTATTTATTTATTTATTTATTTATTTATTTATTTATTTATTTATTTATTTATTTATTTATTTATTTATTTATTCATTTATTTATTTATTTATTTATTTATTTATTTATTTATTTATTTATTTATTTATTTATTTATTTATTTATTTATTTATTTATTTATTTATTTATTTATTTATTTATTTATTTATTTATTTATTTATTTATTTATTTATTTATTTATTTATTTATTTATTTATTTATTTATTTATTTATTTATTTATTTATTTATTTATTTATTTATTTATTTATTTATTTATTTATTTATTTATTTATTTATTTATTTATTTATTTATTTATTTATTTATTTATTTATTTATTTATTTATTTATTTATTTATTTATTTATTTATTCATTTATTTATTTATTTATTTATTTATTTATTTATTTATTTATTTATTTATTTATTTATTTATTTATTTATTTATTTATTTATTTATTTATTTATTTATTTCAGTTATTGCATTACATTCTCTTCTCCATTGATACATTTCATACAAATAATATATAAAGTATAATTAATTTTCTAGTAGGAATGACATGAATTATCAGACAGTAATTCCTGGTATAAGATCATTCATGAAGTATTATCGACTGTTGTATAATTGAAATTACAAATAGTGAACAAAACTTACATATCATTAAGATACAGTCATATTATAGTGAACAAGAAGGGGAAAAATAAAAACAGTGAAAAAGAAAAAAGGAAATTCATAGTCTTTCAGCTTTAATCATTCCTTTGCATATAAATATATTTCTTAACTTTATTTTTGAATTGCATAATATTTGGGCTGTTTTTGATATCATCTGGTAATTTATTGAATTTCGAAATCGCCTCATGTGTAAACTTTTTTTGCCCATGTTTAGAATTTGCAGCTTCAAGATGAAACAAGTTATATTGTCTAGTGTGATGATCATGAATTTCGGAATTCCTGATTAATATAAAATTTGATTTAAGCTTTTTGTTGATGATATAATAGGAAATTGATTAAAAAGTGCTCTTCCAAAGAAAATGTGTTTGTTTCTTTATACAGTAGACTCTCGACTGAGATATGCAGTTTGTTTGTGGCGCAATAGGCGTGTACACGTATGATGTGTTATTTTTTATAGAATTTCAATATTCAAGGAACAACTGAAGAATTATTACTGTTATGCACTTTATTCCCTATTTTCGGGGAAAATAGTGGTCCCTATCGGGATTCAAATTGAATTTTTTTGGAATGGAAGCTAATTTCAGAAATGTATTTTCGAAATGTCTGTTGCAATTGTGGCTTTTATCATCGAATATATATACCCTCCACAATGACGATGTTTCAAGCTTTTTTGACTTTTCCAAGAAATATGCTAGCAGTACCTTCTCTTCTGTAAATTTTTCTACGTTCCGTTCTTTGCACCATTTGATAAACTCAGATAACTGTTTGCTATGTTGTTCTCCAGATTTTTCTTGGTAATAATTGGTCTTCAGCTTCTTGAGCTGCCTTTTCGATTTGTTCCATCGCATTCAATTTTTTTTGTTATATCTTGTTTTAATGTTTTACCTATCCTGGAGTGCATAAAATAGTATATACACCTCGGGACTAAAGTGTTTTTGAATCCCTCGACAATTTATTGTCCTCCCGTTGGTCGGACTATTAACTTTTTGACTATAAGGGATTTAAAAAACCACTTCATTCTCTAGGTGTATAATATACTATTATTCCTTTTTCAACCATGTGAAACACTTTTTTACAGGGACTGGTAGTTGGACACAAATGTTGTTGATTACTGATTACCATGAACATGGATCTTTATTTGATTACCTCAAAACACACACACTGAATCCCGATTCCTTATTACTAATGGCCTGGAGCATATCAAGAGGACTGACACATCTACATACAGAAATATATGGGGTGAGAATTCATTTTCTTCAGTTACAAATATTTTTTTTCGTTTCTTCTAAATTCAAAACTCGATGTATATATTTCGAGGGCGTATTGTTGGGATCCAAATAAGACATTTTCTCCATGAAAATATATGCCCTAAAATGCACTTCCTCAGAGGTAGGTAGTTGAATAAAATAAGATTATCTAAAATTGTGATCATAATCGTTTGAAATTGGCATGCCCTCTAGTAAACACAGGATATCATGTGGATATCCTTATGCTGTCCATGTTTGGTGCATATAGTCATATGGACCCTGAATGGCTATCCAATGGATGTATATCAACCATTAGTACAATGGGCATCCGTTTAGGGACATTCACTGGACATTCAGTTGTCATCCACACTGGACGTGAAGATTTAATTGAATGATGGACGTCCATTGAACTTCCTTTGTATACATTTAGAATTTTGAGGCGTAAAAGTAAAAATCTTATCTTGAATGACTACAAAACCTACATGAGTAATATTCAGGCGGACATTTCGACATGCCCCAAGAAATTCTAGAAATATGTGAGCAGCTGTAAAAATGAGGTGAATATACCTACCAAAATGAACTATGATAATAATACTTCTGCCGACAAGGGTGAAGATATATGTGATCTATTCGCCACTTATTTTCGCAGCGTATATGAGCCCTATCAGCAAATTTATAATTCTTCCGAACAATTCAGCAATAACAATCTTATAAATACAATAAAATTCACTCCAGAAACTGTATTCAATAAAATGAGCTTACTAGACGAGAATAAGGGAGCTGGAATCGACGGCTACCCATCTTATTTTGTTAAAAAATGTGCAACTAGCTTATGTTTACCTTTATGCATTATATTCAACACATCCATGCAGTCTGGTACTTTTCCAGATGTTTGGAAAACTGCTTTGTTAGTTCCAATTTACAAAAATTCTGGAAGTAGAAACTCAGTGAATAATTATCGTGGCATAAGCAAATTATCCATTTTCAGCAAACTGTTTGAAAGTATTATCTATGAAAGTCTATTTCATTGTCTCAAGTCTTCAATTTCAGAACACCAACACGGTTTTTTCTCCAAGCGTGCAATTGAAACAAACTTGATAATTTATTCAGAATACATCTCAAATGCACTAGACAATCGAGCACAGGTGGACTCGTTGTACACTGATTTCAGTAAGGCTTTTTATAAGGTTGATCATAACATCCTTATCTCGAAGCTTGCTGGAATCGGTGTGCAGGGAGACCTCTTGAGATGGTTATCATCCTATTTACACAATCGAAGCCAACTCGTGAATCTCAATGGATATAGGTCAGCACCGTTTGTGGTCACTTCAGGAGTTCCACAGGGTTCACACCTTGGCCCATTGTTGTTCTCGGTCTTCATTAACGATTTGATAGGGTGCTTTGAACAATCCAATATACTTTTATATGCGGATGACTTGAAAATTCTTGGAAAAGTAACCTCTGTTAAGGATTGTACGAAGATTCAAGAAGATCTATCAAAATTTTCAATTTATTGCAATCGCAACAGATTGAAACTAAATGTTAAAAAATGTGCTTGTATATCATTCAGAAAAAGCAGTACGCCGATTGAATTTCAATACTCCATAAATGATATTGTAATAAATAGAGTAGATCAAATCGAAGATCTTGGAGTATATTTTGATTCTAAAATGAGTTTTAATCCACATCTAGACTATGTAATCAACACCTGCAGTAGAACCTTAGGTTTCTTTTGCAGAATGTGTAGGGACTTCAACAATGAGGTGGCAATAAAATCAGTTTACTACTCATTTGTTTTCAGCAAATTGAATTTTGCTAGTGTCATATGGAACCCCTATATTATAACATTCATAAAGTACGTTTAGAAAGGCTTCAGAATAGATTTGTGAGATTCCTTTATTTTAAAATGATTAATATGTATGTAATAACAGGTATTAGTGAAATTCGCACCCACTATAAGATACAACTTCTCGAACAGCGAAGAATTATCAATGATTTACTCATCATATTCAAAATATTAACAAACTGTTATGACTCACCGAAATTAGTGTCGATGATTTCCTACCATGTTCCTCAGAGGTATACCAGAAATAGACAATTATTAGCGTGCTCCAATTATAATACAAATTTAGGTAAAAATTCTCCAATGACCAGAATGTGTGATTTATTCAACAAATATTGCAATGATGTAAACATTATTTCCATATCTTTATATTCCTTTAAAAGAATTACAAAAAATATTTTTATTTCCTAATATCACGATGATGAGTAATTAGTATTTATTAATTAAAATGCTTACTATTTTTCCCGTATCGTATATATGATTGTCATTTTTATACCTCCTATGTAATTAGGTGTATTTTTGTATTTGTTTAGACATGAATGTTAGCTCTTTAACGGATTGTATTAGTGGATGTTTGTATGGGTAACAACCTGTTAGTATCCCAAATTTCGAATAAATAAATAAATAAATCCTTTGGTCGGATTGGAATATACCACGAATTATTCTTCACATTCGAATAATGAGTTTATCAAATATGTCTATCACCTGGATCTAAATGAGCATCCATTGGATGTCCACTTTTGCCACAAAATTGCGTGGCATATAGCCAGGAAAGTTCAGGTTCGCACCAGATAGCGGTCAAGAATGCCATCTGGGACAGCCCTGCACTGATGAGAGCCAACAGCTCGAAACCGGTCTGCAGATAGTCACGCGTTCCTAAACCACTTAGGCGCAGTTCGGCGTTAAGGATAGGAAAACACTTGCGATTCTATTCGTCCATACGAATTATCGCATATAGGTTTCAGGAGGAAGTAATCCAATATTCTGCGTGGCATATAGCCAGGAAAGTAGTTGTTTTCCTGTCGTTATCTACCATTTTCGTTCATTTTATTAACTATTGTGGTAATGACTTTGAGTTTCTCTCTCTTTGTTCTTCATTTTTGCTTCAAAGATTATGCTAATCATGTTTTGTGGGAGTTGGAGGGAAGTCTATTTCGATCCCAACAATATGTCCTTGAAATATTCACATTGAATTTTTTATCACCCTCTATAATACACATTGAGAATATATCCTCTTAATATTGTTTTTTCGGAAATTTATTCTTGTTATTGTCTGTATTATTGCGTTGCATCTGATTGAAATTATAAATATATATTTTTTCAAATAGGAATAATAAGATTGAGGTTGATAATAATAATTATCATTGATTTTCAGGTCCATGGTAAACCCTCTATTGCCCACAGAGACATAAAGAGTAAAAATATTCTGGTGAAACTGAATGGCGAATGCTGCATTGCCGATTTCGGTTTGGCAGTGAAATTCGAAGCGAATAGAAACAAAATAGATTTACCTGGAACAGAGAAGAGTGGCACTAAAAGGTATACAGGTTGGGAATAAAATTACCATCATCGGCATCATATCGATTTTACAAGTAAATCGATCAACACAAAATCTTAGAGATGTATGGGATCACAACCGTCTCAATAACAAACCGTGGTGAGGTAATAGTTAATTGAAAGTTCTACAATACAAAAAGATTGATTTAAAAGAATATATTCATATATCATTTAGAGTCGGTATATTCATAGATAACTGTTTTTAGGTTTGCTCAACTCTCCCCTACGCAGTAGTTGTATCAGCTATCGTTACATGCCTATGCTCATTGTCGGAATTTCATGTTTTTTCCCTTGACATTGACTTTGACTTATGTCGACGTCTTGTCTACATCATTATTTGACATTATTTCCAGTGTATTCTAACCCCATAAGTTCAGATTTAAACACGAGCTGGCTGTTTGCCCCATCAATTTTATTGATATTTCCTTACAGTAGCGCTTTCATAAGAGCACAGGGAACCCTTTTCTTAAACCCCGTTAATTTATGGTGTTTCGGCAATTATCCGCCTCAATATACCATTTTGGAATACAAATTTCAATATAAGATAAATTGTATGCGCTCTCAGGGCACGGAGGCCCTGCTTCATTTATTGAGGAATCATTATTTCATTTATAATCTCGTTTTTTCGACTATGGGCATTGACAACGACAATTCCATAACTAGTAACATTACATTTCTTCAACTCCGAGTAGGTCAAGAACAAATCATGTAATTCTTTTAAATCATTGTATTGTAGAACTTTCAATTAGGCTGAGGATGGTATTTTACAAGACCGAAACATGTCCCTTCTGATTGTGTAACAACACGATTAAAATATTTGGGAGATTACTTCGAGCATTCCTTCCTTCCTTCCTTCCTTCCTTTGAAACATTTCACTCCACTCTAAGCAATATGGACTTCTACCAAAGAATAAATACTACTAGATGATAATATTTAAGACATTGCCATTATCACCCACCATTCAAATTCACGGAGCGAGTCGTGATGATGTTATTGACAGATAGCTCAGTAAAACGATAACGATAAAGATCCTCTCGTGGAAAAAGTTCAATACGACCCTATAAAGAGTTGAAGTAGATGAAATTTCCTATATAATATGTCCTTCAACCTCTTATAGAATTGTCTTTTCGCTAAAATGATTGTTTCCGAGTTACCGGCAGAAAGCTGAGAAAATTGCGAAAATTTCGATGTTTTCTGCGAATCTCGGAACGCTCCAGGAAATTTTGTTTGCAAACTTGAGATTCAGATTCAGCACCCCTAAAGACATATAAAACCGCAGAGAAACCGACTACTTGAATTTTCTCCACGTGATAACAACAGTATTTCATTAACATGTCCAAATGTTGAAGAAATCATAAAAGCTGATACAATTTTTGCAATATTAGCCGAAGCATATCCAATTAGATTCATTATAGGTCTGTAGTTTAATCTTGGAGCAGGGGCGGATCCAGGGGGGGGGCCATGGGGCCATGGCCCCCCCCCTCGAGCACCTCATGGACATGTAAAAATGTAGGTATTTTGAATAAATGAAAAAATTAGTGTATGTCTTTATAGCTAGAAACTTGGCAACACAGCTTTAAGGAATTGCGAATTTGTAATTACACTCTGATGCTGTTTGGCAAATATATTTTCGATAACACTGCCACTTAGTAATTTGCTCCAAACAAAAAACAAGCTAACGATGTTGTTAGTATCACTCTTCAGACGCTTCCAGATAAAAGGGATGATATTCTAAATACCTACTATCTCAGTATTTCGAATGCAGCCAAACAGAAATTGAAAGAACTGAATGTTGAATTTTCGATGCCGAGAATAACAGGGAGAATGGTTCATAAACCAAAACGGTTTCCTTAGTGGATGACCATTACAGAATAACTGTTTTCATTCCAGTATTATTATTGATCTGAAAGAAGGAATATCAGAAAATGAATTGAATCTATACAACCTTCACCTTTGTGTGCCATCTCAATAACTAAAAACAAAACAGATGAGGAAATTTATGAGGTATGGGAAATATACTTGAACAGTTTTGGCGAGAATAATGAAATGTCCTTCCAGAAGATCGTTTCTGAAATTTATATATGGAAGAAAATGAGGGATACTAAGCAAAATATACCAAACAATGGTATAACTGCCCTGAAGGAATGTAACAAAAAGTACAAAAACATTTGTTTCCTAACATAAACATCCTTCTGGAACTATTTAGTTGCCTACCTGTAAGTGTTGCATCTTCTGAAAGAAGTTTTTCAACACTCAGAAGGCTGAAAAATTGGATAAGATCCAGAATGGTCCAAGACTGGTTGAATGGATTGGCATTGATGCATATTCACAGGGGCATCTGCATCAGTCTGAATGTTGATGATATCATCCAAAGATAAGCTAGGCAGAAGAATATAGAAGACTGGAATTTGTTATCTTTATTTTATATATTTTTATTTTTGTCTATTTCATTTGTTTTATTTTTGAAGAGAGAGAGAAATATTTTTTCATTCACTTCTTTTATCCAATATGATTTATTACAGAATTCTACAAACATTGATGGAAAATTTTTTTACACCAATAATTTCGATGTTTACTATGATCAGTTTTTTTAATGAAAAAGCATTTGTCTCATATAATTTCTCTTCCGCGCTAACCTTATTGAGCCGTGACTTTCTATGGCCCCCCCCTCAAACATCGTCTGGATCCGCCCCTGTCTTGGAGTAACAAATATGCCATCTATCATACGAACGAAAACTCTTCAAGTCTCCTCAGTGATGAAGAAATAGTAGAAAAGTATGTGATTATTATTATGAAGGTTATTGCTTCCGGAAATACGTACATATTCAAGGTGGAAGATAGTTGTTACAAGTACCGTTCGTTCGATAAAATGCCATGTCTAAACAGAATAAGCAGAAAGATATACAGGATGGGGCATAGAAACCAAGTGAATGGCGGGGCGCGCGGTTAATTACAATCCATTCCTTGACTCGAAGCATTTCACTTTCTCAGTTGCCATCATGGAGCGGTGGACTATAGAGCAACGCGTGTTCGTTATTGTTATTTCACAAACAATTGATTTCTATGCCCCACCCTGTGCAATAACTTACTCACAGTCATCCATTCCATCTCTCAAAAGCGTTGGTTAGGAACATAGCAAGTCTTTATTCTTCCACTTGTTTCTCAGTCAACTCTTTGGTCAGTGTGTTTTTCTTGCATATAGGTACTCCTAAAGGAAGAGGCAGAAGAATCAAGTGTTTTGAAATAACATAATAACAATAACGAACACGCGTTAATTGTTCTAGCGTCCACCGCTCCATGATGGCAAGAGGCAACTGAGAAATTGAAATGCTTCGAGTCCAGGAATGGATGGAAGTGAACCGCGTTCACAACCCATTTCTATCGGCCGAGTACTACACAAATCAAAAACACTAGGTTCCTATGCTCCACCCTATACAGGGTGTTTCGAAATTCGACCGACAACGTTTGACAGGTGATAGCCCTCGTGATTTCATAATCATTGAGATAGGAACATTCGGTCTTCAAGTGTTCAGTTCTCGAGATGCAGGGCGTTGAAGTTGAGAAATGAAAATAGTTGTTTCGCAATATCTCAAGAATAATTGAATATAATGCATTCAACTTCGGTATATGGTTTCATCTTTGAATGGGCCATTTTTTGACCCGGAAGCCATTCCGGACATTTTGTCCAGTGGTGCCCTACAGGGGGTTGTGGCATTTTTTCCTTCCATATTTTCTACGCCACTGATTGAATTTCGATTATTTCCAATTCCTCGAATTCATTGTTCAATTTTATTCAGAAAATGCATCACCTTCAACTGAGCTGAAATAAACAGTTTTCGAGATATTCGACCCAAAATAGAAGATTGCATAGTAATATTTCATCATTTTCAGTAGTAGAAAATTGCAAAAATATTTTTCTGGTGTTGAGTAGATTAGATACTATTCAGATCTCATGCTATAGCTGAACAGAAATAGTTATTCCACGCATAAAGAGAGAACAAAAATGTTCGTAATTTTCTAATACTGAGGAAGATGAAAAATTACTATGCAAACTTCTATTTTGGGTCAAATATCTCGATAACTGTTCATTTTAGCTTAGTTGAAGGTGATGCACTTTTTCAACATAATTGAACAATCAATTCGAGAAATTAGAAATAATTGAAATTTCATCAGTGGCGTAGAAAATATGTGCGGAAAAGTTATCACAACCCTCTGTAGCGCACCTCTGGATAAAATTCTCGGAATGTCTTTCTGGTCAAAAAATTAACCATTGGAAGATCAAACCATATACCGAATTTGAATGCATTTAATTCAATTTTTCATGAGATATCGAGAAAAAACTATTTTAATTTCTCAACTTCAACGCCCTATATCTCGAGAACTGAACACTTCAAGACCGTCTGTCCCTATCTCAGTGATTATGAAATCACGAGGGCTATCACCTGTCAAGCGTTGTCGGTCGAATTTCGAAACACCCTGTATATCGATATTTCTAGATTTTTTTCAATGAGGGTGAAGTAATTTCACAGGACACTGTTTTTCATAATGGACATTACTTATAACTATACATTTCCATTTTTTTTTGCTCATAATTGAGAATAGTTAAGAATGGTTTTTCAAAATAAACTATTCATATTTCGGATTAACTAACTGAGATTACAAGTTTTTCTGATTTGATCCAACTTGAGAGAAAATACATTATTTGTTATATTTTGAGCTGGTCGACTCTAGCTCTACAGCAACTCTCGTTGAAATTAATCGAAACGTATTCAAAATCTCATATGTACAGGGTGTAATTTGATTAATAGCTAGAAATATAGGACATGGTTCCCAAGCTCATTTTGAGGGAAAAAGTTCATATGAACATATGCCCTAAACCTTTTAACTTCCGAGCTATAGGGTGTTGAAATTTTCAGGAAAAATTCGTTTTCATATCATAACTTCAATACTGTTCTAGATAAATACTAGCTGTAGGTTAATCGAGGAGGTGGTACAGGGTGATTCGCCATAAATGTCCCCCCCTCTAGCTCAGTAATTTTTAAACCGATTTCAAAATTTGAGATATCATCTTGAATGATTTTCGATAAAGTTTTTTTCCGCTACATCAGAAAATACAGGGTACTCGGAACAAACGATCTACAGGGTACTATTTGATTTTTTTAAATAGAACTTCCTATTTTTCATTGAATTTTTAGATTCTCCCTGAAGAGCTGATTTGATTAATGTATCACACTTGGGGTCTAGCAAGAATGATTACAGAGATATAGGGTGTTCAAAATCGAGATTTTTCAACTTTAGGATTTTTTTGAGACAAAACTATTCATCATCGGTCAAAAAGGCTTTCATGTCCACGTCTTAAATTTCGATTTACTTTCTACTGACATTTAATAATTGGAACAGATACAGATCAAAATTCTGAATCTTGAACCACCCTGTAAATGTTCCAATTAAATGTCAGTAGACAGTAAATCAAAAGTTAAGATGGAAACATAGAAGCCGTTTCGACCAATAATGAATAGTTTCGAGACAAAAAAATCCTAAACTAGAAAAATCTCGATTTTGAACACCCTATATCTCTGTAATCATTCCCGCTAGACCCCAAGTGTGATAAATTGATGAAATCAGCTCTTCAGCAAGAATCTGCAAATGAAATGAAATACAGGGTGTTCCATTTGAAAAAATCAAGTAGTACTTTGTAGATCATTTGTTCCGATCACAATGTATTTTCTGATGCAACCGGAAAAGGAAAAGGAGGAGGGGACATTTATGGTGAATCACCCTGTACATTCATTACTCCAGATTATTTAGGATTTTCTCTCCTCATCCATATAAAATAAAATATCAATATTATTCCAATATACTCACGTGTAGTAAGGACAAATCAGACGATTTGCCCCAAAATGTCACTGCGTTCAAAGAATTTTCCAATCAGAGAGCGTAAAAGAAAAATTCACTAGCTTGTCAGTGACAATTTGTATTGAAAAGGTTTGGAGAAGAGAAATAAAGGTATATAGAAAAAATCGACTTTCACTTATCTTTGGACGTTCCGGGAAAGAATCTGCTCTCGTTTTCAACGTCACCAATTTATTGTCACTGAGAACTGAGAAGTGTCAAGTAAAATACGATTTTGCCATACAAAAATCCATTTTTTATGTCGAAAACGGTATCAGATTTGTTTCCGAAACGTCCAAAGATAAGTAAAAAGTCGATATTTTTTCTATAAACCTTTATTTCTCTTCTCCAAACCCATTTCAATACAAATTGTGACTGACAAGCTAGTCGATTTTTCTTTTAGGCTCTCTGATTGGAAAATTCATTAAACGCAGTGACATTTTGGAGCAAATCATCTGATTTGTCCTAAATACACGTACATTGAAATAATATTGATATTTTATTTTACGAGACGAGGAGAGTTAATCCCAGATAATCTGGAATAATGACTTTTCTAGATATTTAACGAAATTTCACATGCAACTACTGAGCACCAATAGGCATTTTTTGACGCAGAAGATTTTCTGATATTACTACCAGTGGCGTCCGTATTGGATGTATACTGGAGATCATCATAAAAAAATAGTGAACGCCTCTGCTTTTTCCAGAAATAAAAATCATTCTGAGAATTATATGAATTTAATAATAGATACCTACTGCCATATGAGATAGCAAATGTCGGAAGAATTCTAGGGGTTATTTTGTCCCAATATTGTAGCATCTTCTATTTAGAACAGAACTTGGCAAAACTGAGAAATACGGGTGGCGGAAAGGACCCCGCACATTTAGTACGTAAAATGGCTTTCGGCTAAATTTTCTGAAAATTTGATATGTTCAAGACATTATCGTCCTTATCACACAGTCCAATTTACAGATCGATCCTATGACCGGTTTTCGAGCTACAGGGTGTCAAACATTAGATTTTGGCTGTTTAGAATATTTTGCATCAATTTGAATTATGTGCTCTAAGTCGTGATTATTCTTCAGTAGGAATGAACTCTTCACGTCTAATATCTACCTCATGAATCCCTCTATTCGGTTAGAGGATAATATCACATACAGAGTATTGCATTCCATCATGACAAGGTAATATTCTTGGGAAAAGACAAATATTGAAAACATCAGAATTTTGATTTTTACTCAATCACTGAAAACTCGAAAACAAACGGCTAGAATTGGCCAATTATGTGACACAGTATGGGTCTTGATCATTAACATGAGGATTCATATGATTACCTCTGATACCATTTCCGGTTGGCCATATATAGGGTGATGACAATTTGAAAGCTTATAGAATTGATATAACTCAGGTACAAAATGAGATACATTTCTATAATATATGAAGTGGAAAATGAAATGTCTCATGAAATAACCCACCCCCACCAAGCCCCTGATGAGTCACAACCACCCCAACGCATATCATCTCAATAGTAGCCCCTACTTATTGTGATTGTAATAAATATTTTTTGTTAGTTCACCCAGTTCGAGATATGAATAATACCACTGAAATGTATTTTCACCAAGCTATTCAATGAGGTATCACAAGAAGTAGGGGCTACTATTGAGATGATATGCATTGGGGTGGTTGTGACTCATCAGGGGCTTGATGGGGGTGGGTTATTTCATGAGACATTTCATTTTCCACTTCATATATTATAGAAATGTATCTCATTTTGTACCTCAGTTATATCAATTCTATAAGCTTTCAAATTGTCATCACCCTATATATGGCCAACCGGAAATGGTATCAGAGGTAATCAATCATATGAATCCTCATGTTTATGATCAAGACCCATACTGTGTCACATAATTGGCCGATTCTAGCCGTTTGTTTTCGAGTTTTCAGTGATTGAGTAAAAATCAGAATTCTGATGTTTTCAATATTTGTCTTTTCCCAAGAATATTACCTTGTCATGATGGAATGCAATACTCTGTATGTGATATTATCCTCTAACCGAATAGAGGGATTCATGAGGTAGATATTAGACGTGAAGAGTTCATTCCTACTGAAGAATAATCACGACTTAGAGCACATAATTCAAATTGATGCAAAATATTCTAAACAGCCAAAATCTAATGTTCGACACCCTGTAGCTCGAAAACTGGTCATAGGATCGATCTGTAAATTGGACTGTGTGATAAGGACGATAATGTCTTGAACATATCAAATTTTCAGAAAATTTAGCCGAAAGCCATTTTACGTACTAAATGTGCGGGGTCCTTTGATCGAAAGACAAATGATAGAAAAACATTTGATAGAAGTCTTTTGATCGAGAGTGTTTTTGATAGAAATGCATTTGATCGAATGTTTTATGATAGAAAATACATTTGATAGAAACATAAATGATAGAAAATACAATTGATAGGAAAAATATTTGATAGAAAATACACTTGATAGAAACAGCATTTGAAAGAAAATTCAACGGGGCTACGCTCAAGTTAGGTCAGTACGTTTATGAAGATATGATCCTTCTTCATATATTTGAGAAGATGAGCTAGATGAAAATCGAAGCTTATAAATTTATTGATACCACAAACTTCTAGCTCCTTTCTTCTCAAATATATGAGGAAGGATCATATCTTCACAAACGAACTGACCTAACTTGAGCGTAGTCCCGTTGAATTTTCTATCAAATGCTGTTTCTATCAAGTGTATTTTCTATCAAATATTTTGTATTTTCTATCATTTATGTTTCTATAAAATGTATTTACTATCATAAAACATTCGATCAAATGTATTTTCGGTGAAAAGTTCTTTATATTTTTTGATTTTCGATCAAAAGACTTATATCAAATGTTTTTCTATCATTTGTCTTTCGATCAAATTTCCGCCATCCGAGAAATACATCGGTAACACTCAATATATGAATCGACCAAACTAAATTGTATTGTTTTTTGTTTCAGATACATGGCACCTGAAATTCTTGATGGTACAATGGATATCCAAAATTTTGACTCCCATAAAATGACAGACATCTATGCGTTTGCTTTAGTGTTATGGGAAATGAGTAGCAGGTAAATTTTAAAACAGAAAGTGGTTAATTCGAAAAAAAAAATTAGTCGTGTATACAATGATATTCATCACACTTTATATTGCATAATTCGAGCATTCATATATAGGGTCATCTTTAGCTGAATGTTAATTGTGAAGAGTAATCTAACCTATTTAAAGCCATCCAGTGGCAAAAATGCAAAGATGTTCAAGTACATTGTTCTACTATCACAACACCTAAAAGTCTCAAGGTGTTTTTTAATATCCCATACTGACTGACTGTTAGACTTAAGTTATTTTTGATATGACGATTTGATTAATGTGATTAACGTGGAAAGAAATTCTGAATTGAGGAAACCTAATCACGATAGGAAACAATTCGTATATTTAACAGAATCATTCAGTAAGAGCGATGAACTAGTATGCGGTGTACCGCAAGGATCAGTATTGGGTCCTATTCTATTTCTTATTTATATCAACTCTATCGCAAATTTGAAGTTGAAAGGTAAAATTTATATGTTTGCCGATGACACAACCTTAATCTATTCAGCAGGTTCAGCACAACAAATTAGGGATGAAATATCAAGTGATTTTAAAATATCATTATCATGGTTATCATGTTATAAATTGAGTATAAATTAGAGTAAATCAGCATTTATGATCATTTCAAAAAAATCAAGATATAATGAGTACAAATTTCAAATTGCATGTAATAATGAAGTCATCAAATATTCAAATTATATCGAGTTTCTTGGGCTGTACATAGATGAACATTTGTCATGGTCAAAACATATTGAAATACTTAGGAAAAAATATCTCCAATAATGGGTATACTTTTTAGGGTACGGAATCAAGTTCCTATAAAATTCCTCAAATCTATATACTTCTCTTTGATCTATTCTAAACTTGAATATTTGATTTCTGTATGGGGTTCAACAAAACTATCAATTATAAAGCCTCTCAAAACTCTTCAAAATAAAATTATCAAATTTATATATACAGACTAAATTATTCGGAACCTACTATGAACCTTTACAGAAGAAGAGAATTATTAGATATAGATTCACTATATAAATCCAAATTAATGTCGTTCATTCATTCAGTTAAACATTGTCGAAAGCATTCAAATTTGGTTTTCCAAGTCAATAGTAATCACCACAACCATACAACCAGACAAGCAGATCATTTTTCTGTCAAGAAAATTAAATCAGATATTGGTAAAAAATCCATCTATCACAATGGAATGATGCAATACAATTCACTACCAAATAACTTGAAGCTGATTAATAGGATTGAAAAATTTAAAAGAGAATTCAAGAAACATCTACTCCTGTAATATTGACATCTTAGCTCATTTTTATAGTTTTCTTGTACAACTAAGTACTATAGTTTTCTATTGGGTACCTAACAGCTGAGTCAATTGAGAATCATTTTCAGTTGAACTTGAGTGTGAGTCTTATTTTACTGTCTTCCTTATTTTATTTTGTCAAATATATTTATGTATTCACCATGTTTCCTGCTATAAACAAATTTTCTTGGGAAAAATGAAGTTGATTGTTTGATTGATATAATCTGCGATTGAAGGTCTATATAAGAATAACAGGTTTCTAATCAAAATATTAAATTGCATCCATTTCGTCAAATATAATTATAAACATTTAAATCTGAATTTTGGAGTCAATAGTCATAATCATGAATACACATTACCAGACAAAAAGATATGTTAACTCTCATCAAAATTGAATCAGATATGGGTAAAAGATCTATATTTTATACAATGGAACAATTCTCTATAATAAACTAACTGCCAGACTGAAGAGAAAACTAAGTGTTGAGAAATTTAAATAAGAACTGAAAAAATACTTATGTCTTTGATTCTCTTATATTATTCTAAATCAATTCAAGAACTTATATTCAACAGTATCTAGAAGAAACAACATTATATGTACTATGTATATGATTGATATATGTATCAGTTGCTCTTTCATAATTTTTCCTGCTATAAAAATATATGTTTCTTGGAAATAATAAATATTATCGTTATTATTATGCATTATCACGTAAGTACTGCATTATAAATTGAAAAAGAAAGAGCATAGAAGAATAATGACTGTGTTCATAAATACATTGACATTACACTAAGCCACTAACTAACTAATTCAGGCTCGTCTTATCTTTTATAATTAAATGTAGTGATAATGTAATTATAATGAATGTTTTATGAAACCGCCTAGCGTTTCTCGCCTTTTTCGTTGAAACCGTTTCATTATGTTATTAAATATTAGCTGGCCAAAAACTGTATCAAAGTCAACTTTTTGCAGATGTTGTTTTGGATGTTATGAAGCTATACCTTACCAGATCCCATTCCAAGACGCTGTTCCAAGTGATCCCAGTTTTGAAGAGATGCGTCAAGTGGTGTGCATCGAGAAAGTGAGGCCCAATATTCCGCCAGTCTGGAAAACTCATGAAATCATGAACATTATGATGAAAACAATGCAGGTAAAATATGATGGCATGTACAGGGCTAGTTTTATTTATATGAACCGCCCTCTATCTTTTATGTTTTCCACCCATTCAAAAAATTTCAAGACTGATATTATACAATTTCTCACACAGATTTCACTCATTTTGACAACCTAGTTGTCAACGCCACCAAAACTCAAGCCTGCATTTTCTCTAGAAAGGCGGAACTCGCAGTATGCCCCATATTGTAATGTCTGGCTCCACCATCCCCACCAAGCCCACCATATCTATGCTCAGTATTTCCATCAGCAACACTCTTTCATGGGATAATCATATTAGATCCATCGCAAAAGCTGCTTCACAAAAACTCGGATTTTTGTTCCGTGCGAAAAGCTACTTTACACCTCAACAGCTTCTCATGATCTACAAAGCGCAGATACGGCCTGTTCTAGAATACTGTTTCCACATATGGGGTTCAGCACCAAAACATACGCTGATGCTCTTGGATTCCATCCAGAGGAGAGCCATTCGCCTGGTGGGTGACGCCACACTCACTCACTCTTTGACATCATTGGAACACCGTAGAAAGGTCGGCGACCTTTCACTATTCTATCGATACTTCCACGGGAAATGTTCTTCGGAAATCTCTGCTATCATCCCTTCACTAGCAATACCAATCAGACGAACTAGACAATCCCAGTCAGCACATCCTTTCGTTGTCAACCTCGAAAGATGTCGAACAGCACTTTATCAAGACTCCTTCATCCATAGAACGGCTAGGCTCTGGAATTCATTGCCTGTGGAAGTGTTCCCAACAACATATAATCTCCAAAAGTTCAAAAAAAAACTCCAATACCTACCTCCTGTCCCTATCCTCCCTAGGAACGCACGATGTTCTCTGAACATTATAGGGATTCCCTTTCGTGCGCTCCAAGCGATAAAAAAATGCAATATCTATTCAGATATACAGGGTATACAAAAATAAATATTTCAAATGAAACGCCCTGTTAATTTCGACAAATTTGAATTCCCCGAATCATCCTGATTTCAAACATATATATAGGAGGATATATCTTCATCTATCAAAATATACAGTGCATTCCATATAAAAAAATGATTATACTGTATACCCTCTGTACATTTGAAGAGATATTGCAACACTTTCTCAATATGATTGAAATCAATATCACAGAATACTCAACAATTGCTGAGTATTCTGTGTCAATATGAAATATCGTAAAAAAATCAGTTTTGAATCTTCTTGGATGGATAGAAAACAAAGACGATGAATACAAGGGGTTCACATTCATAAAACTAGCCCTGTACATATGAGTGCATACCATTTTGGTAGAGACAGCCAGGTATCACGGTTTCAGCAGTCCTGTGCTACATATTTGTGAAACTCAAGATGACCTGGACAGATTTTGCCTAACTTATTTTATTTTTGAAGTCACACTTTGGACTGTTTTTACTTCTTCAAAAGCTAACTTTGACATTTTCAATTTCTTCCTAGTGAAATACTTGTATGTGACAATCATGAATATTTTGAGATTATATAACGTAATCAGAATTATCGGGTGGTCACGAAAAACCGGAGGTTTTTATATACAGCACAATATTTGAAAATTCCATAATTGAAAAAAAAGATGGATTATCTCAAACATTTGTGATTTACCAAACCCGCTAGCGCATAAGAATTAGATAATTGAAGAATCAGAATGTTACCAACTTGTAATGTACCGATGTTATTTTAGAGCATTGATTTCTGGAGAAAATGAGTACTCGAAACTCGAACATCGAAATCGAACAAATAGTCCAGGAGATACACTCACCAATCTATCGTAATAATAACTATCATTATATTATTTTTCTTCTGGCTTTATAAAATTTCAATAGATTTCGGATTTCGGAGTTCTCAAAGCCATTTCAGAGATAAAAAGCTGTTTTACCTAGACAGTGGAACATTTGAAAATTTCATTACTGAAAAAAAAACAAAATGGTGGATTATCTCAAACATTTGTAATTTACAAAAATTACTGGCGAATGGAAAAATGTTAATTCCTTCAATCAGAACCGATGCAATTCTAGATCATTGATTTATAAAAAAATGAGCGCTCGAACATCTGAATCGAACAAATAGTCCAAGATATACAGGGTGGCCCACGGTCGATGGTACCTTAGACGTATACGGAAAACGGTACATTGGATTATCCTGAAAATTTGGTTACTCTAATAAGCGTTTGTGATCTAACGATTCAAAATATTTTTAGCGAAGCAGCGTTGCCACTTTTACCAAAAAGTAGCATCATCTTTGTTATTTCAAATGGAACACCCAGTATTTTATTGCGTTTTTAGATTCTTCTCGAAGAGCTGATTTCATCAATGCATCACACTTGTGGTCTAGCAGGAATTATTACAGAGATATATGGTGTTCAAAATCGAGAATTTTCAACTTTAGGATTTTTTTGTGTCGAAACTATTCATCATTGGTCAAAACGGCTCACTTGTCCCTATATTAACTTTTGATTAACTATCTACCGACATTTAATTGGAAGAAATACAAAATGGTCCAAGATTCAGAATTTTGATCACCCTGTATCTGTTCCAGTAGATAGTGAATCAAAAGTTAAGATAGGGACATGTGAGCCGTTTTGATCGATAATGAATAGTTTCGACACAAAAAATTCCTGCAATTGAAAAATCTCGATTTTGAACACCCTATATCTCTGTAATAATTCCTGCTAGACCCCAAGTGTGATGCATTGATGAAATCAGCTCTTCGAGAAGAATCTAAAAACTCAATAAAATACAGGGTGTTCCATTTGAAATAACAAAGATGATGCTACTTTCTGGTAAAAGTGGCAACGCTGCTTCGCTGAAAATATTTTGAATCGTTAGATCACAAACGCTTATTAGAGTAACCAAATTTTCAGGATAATCCAATGTACCGTTTTCCGTGGGCCAACCTGTATACACGTTCTTTCTGGCAATGTGTTATGGACTGAATATGCCAATCAAGTGATGAGAATTACTTTTATGTTGCTTCTAGCTATATCAGAAGTCATTCGAATTTGGATTTCTCAAAACCATTTTGAAGCTGAAAAGCTGTTAGTACACAGTGAAACATCCAACATAGGAAAATTCTTATTTTAGATCATTGATTGTTATAGAGAATGAGCACTCGAACATCTGAATCAAACATATAGTCCAGGAGATGTACGCACTTCTTAGCAACGTATATCTCCTGGACTATTTATTCGATTCAGATGTTCGTGCGCCTTTTTTTTAGAAATCAATGCTCTAGAATTGCATCGGTTCTGATTGAAGGAACCAACATTTTTCCATTCGCCAGTGGTTTATTAAATTACAAAGGTATGAGATAATCCATATCATTTTGTTTTCAATTATAACATTTTCAAATATTCCTCTGTGTTATACAGTTTTTTGTCTTTGAAATGGCTTTAGAAAAATCTGAAATCAATTGAAATTTGATAAAGCCAGAAGCAGTGGCGGCTCCTCAGAGGAGGCAACGGAGGCTGAGCCTCCTCAGAGATTATCCTTGAACTGATATTATCTATACTTTCTCATTAAAAGAACACCAAAATACATGGATTTTGATTGTATTTCCTGTTTTTAGGTAAATATTTTTGAATTGGCAACAGTGCCCATGCATCACACGTTGAAGTCTGTAAATCACGCGTGAAATAATCAACTTGGCAACATCTATAGGTTGCTAGACTCCTTCACAATGCGCAACCCACTCGCGCAATGCAAATGCCCGAATACGCCCGAATAGCACGTGTTTGTCGTGTCGCGTCGCGAATTGCGGGTTGTTTATGTTTATGTTGGGTTAATGGTTAGGGGCTCTATAAATTTCTGAAAAATGAGTGTTTTAAACGATTGCGATTTAGTAGAATACTTTTTGGTGAACCCATTCAGTGCTTTGTCTTATAAAGATAAATTGATTGTGAAAAACAAACGTCCGACACCGGAATTAAAAAATCTGATTGTAACAGAGGTAACAAACAAAATCGTTCGTTCAATTCTGATAATTATAAAAAATATATCTGGCTGACGGGATCTGAGGTACTGAATAAGCTATTTTGTTGGTACTGCGTATTATTTTCAACCGATAAGTCATCATGTTGGGGGCGATTAGGATATAATGATTTAAAAAATTTGGCTCGCGGATTGGATAGACACTGCGAATCACAGGAACTCATCTCATCAAGTATTAAGTTCAGGTTAACTGGTAAACAGAATGTCATTAAAGCTATTGATTTGGGTGAGTAGAGAGTTGTTTTTCACAATAAATCTCATATCATTCAGCCTCCTCTGTCATGAAAGTCACGAGCCGCCACTGGCCAGAAGCAAGATAATAATAATCGTTATTACGAGATTAGCACATTCAATTCATAACAAACTGTGAAAAAGTGAGGGTATCTCCTGGGCTATTCGTTCGATTTCGATGTTCCAGTACTCATTCTCTTCAGAAATGAATGGTCTAAAATAACTTCAGTACAGGTTGGAAAAATTATAATTTTCTTATCGCCAGCGGTTTTTGTAAAAATCACAAATGTTTGGGATACTTCACCGTTTTGTTTTTTTTTTCAATTATGGAATTTTCAAATCTTGCACTTTATACTATAGCCCTTTAGCTACAAAATTCGAATCCGGTCAAAAAATGATGAAAACACGAGGAAAATAAAAACTTCCGTTTTTTTTGTAACCACCCGGTATATGAGAAGCCCTCTCTACATACATTATGCAGCGTATTATATTTTTGATAATCCAGATGTTAGACCCATGTATACGTACCAATTTTTGCATAAAATTTTTAAAACAGTTTTCTTTTTCAGGAAATGTGGCATGAAAATCCAGGAGTTAGGTTAACTGCTCTAAGAATCAAGAAAACGCTCAGTAGACTGAAACCTTCTGAAGACAGTGTTCTCAATATAATGTCAGACTAGTCTGAATGTAGACTATAAGTAGTTATAGTAGGTACAGGATTATGAAATCGAAGAGGCATATCCCTATCACGTAATTTTTCCACGACAAAAACAAAACGGAAGTGGAAAGTCGCAATAACGCTTCTCCACATCCCCTATTAGAAGATATAGGTACAGGTTGATCCCTGAAGGTAAAATTTTGAAATTTGGAAAAATGGATTCGTAGTTTGCCACGCTTTAATGAATCACTTTGTCAAACTTTTTATGAGGGTCGAAAAAGGCGGCATTTAACTTTTTTCTGAAAAATAACGTAAATATAGGACCTCGTTCTCTGGACAGCCCTGTACAAAAATGTAATTAGATAAGATAGTATATTATGGGTCCAAAAACAAAGAAGATGAAAAATATCGTAAATATATATAGATCCTTTATGGATAACAATGTACAAAAATAAAATTATTAGATAGTAGATATAGTTGATACATATGGATCCAAATGAGTAAAGATGGTGAATTAAATTCATTAAGAAAAACTTCGAGTTGTTTTTATATTCAAATAACATCTCAACATTTTTGAATCATTGGAAAATTTCCCGTTCTGTGCGCTCAGTAACTCTATACAGGGTGATTTACGTAGACCACACATTGGAAGTGATCTACAACTTGCAATTGGATTAAAAGCTTGAAAACTGGTGTGGAGTTATAAACGATCATTTCCAATCTACCAGGAATATTTTTAGTTACAAAATTAAGGTTAAAGAACATATATTATATCCTCCAAACTGAGAGTTGCATATGCCTCACTGGAAATGATTTATACCCAACGGCAATTTCTCTCGTGTGAAGTTGAATAAATGTTATGTGACACGCTCGTACTATCACATTTCAATCATACCTATGTGGTGTATGGTCCCTGCTTAGACAGTTATGATTCTAGACGAATTCAAAAGCTTCAAAATTTTGGTTTACGATTGGTTTACGGAATAAGAAAATCTCACCACATCTCAGGGAAATTTGAGGAAATGACATGGCTGAATATGTACAACCGTCGAACTCTACACTTTGCACATTTGGCCCATAAAATCTATACTTTTAAAACACCCCCCTATTTACATAACACACTCACTATCAGAACAGATATTCATAATCTGAAAATCCGACAAAAACCCCTTCTTCGTGTGCCGAGACCTGAAAAAATTATTTACAAACGCTCGTTCTCATTATGGCCTGGCAGTCTGTATCAACAATCTGCACAGATTATATTCTTCACTGAAATCATTCAAAGTTAAATATAGAAGGTATCTCTTGTCCATGCAAAAATGATCTTACAAATCAACTAATCTATCTGTCTCTCACCTTCCCAATCTTTTTCCTTCCTTTCTCGCTCTTTATTACTTTTTCTCTCTCCCTCTTGATTCCTTTTATTTTCTTTCAAAATATCGTTTCATTACATTCAATCTATCATTTATTATCTTTATTATTCCCAAGAAACATATATGTTTATAGCAGGGAAAATTATGAAAGAGCAACTAAAAAACAAAAATTAGATAATCATCAGATAATCATTTTTGAATCATATACATAATACATATAATGTTGTTTCTTCTAGAGACTGTTGAATATAATTTCTTGAAGAACAGGGGTGGATTAGTCCACAACTGAACCAGTTATAGTCATTTATCCACTAGAATTCTGCTGTATTTCGTACTCTGTACTATTTATACAGGGTGTCCGCTAAAAGGAGGTCAATCCATCAACCATATATTCCTCGAACAAAAACAATATGAGTTTCTAAATACCATTTTTCATTTTAGCCCTTCATATTCGATATACAGGTCGTCAAATTTGGAAATTAAAAACTGTTGTTTTTTAATTTCTCGCGTATTTAATAAGATATTAATCTCAAAATTGGTACATTACTTCAGCACAAAGAGTTACATCCTGAGGAAAACGAAACAGAAAATAACTGTCAAATATTCAAAATACTCTGGGGGTCAAGTACACACCTACCCCCATATTTTTTTTGTACGTGCGCTACTGAGTTCTTATCAATCTTTCTTCAAGTGTTCAATCATTTTTGAGTATTTTTTGTCACTTGTAAAATTTCGATAAAATTATTTGTACTCAAGATAATTCGATAAGTACTGGTTATTGTTTGATGCCTATGCGGCTTACGGTAATCTCATAATGTTCACATACTCCTATTTATTTCGTCGAAATTGGAAGAGGACGTAACTTTTCACGTACGAAAAGGTAAATATGGAAATACCGGGTGCTCAGAGCGAATGTATTGAAATACTTTTTACAAACAAAATTTATAGAAATTCAACACGTCTAAATGGATTGCTCCATATGACCTACAGTTTTTTGAAAACACATGCGAGCCCTTTAAATTAGAGAAAATCTAAGCTTCCTAAAAATATGTGGCTTATACACAAAATTCTTAATACATCCCCAGACAATCCTGATCTGCAATTTTTTTCATCAAGTAGCTATTGAAACCATGGATATCATAATTTCACCTAAAATTTCCGAAAATATTTTTTTAAATTTCTTCCGATTTGTAGAAATTATTTCAATACATTCGCTCTGAGCACCCGGTATTTCCATATTTACCTTTTCGTACGTAAAAAGTTACACCCTCATCCAATTTCGACGAAATAATAGGGATATGTGAACATTATGAAAGTACCAGTACTTTTCGAATTATCTTGAAAACAAATAATTTCATCGAAATGTTACAGGACACAAAAATGATTGAACACTTGAAGAAAAATAGATTTGAAGTCATTAGCGCACGTACAAAAAAAAAATGGGGGTAAGTGTGTACTTGGTTCCCAGTATTTTGAATATTTGACAGTTATTTTCTGTTTTGTTTTCCTCACACTATGAAACCCTTTGTGCTGGAGTAATGTACCAATTTTGAGATTAATATCTTATTAAATACGCCAGTAATTAAATAAAAACAGTTTTCAATTTCCAACTTTGACACCCTGTATATCGAATATGCAGGGCTAAAATGAAAAATGGTATTTAGAAACCCATATTGTTTTTGTTCAAGGAATATATGGTTGATGGATGGAGCTCCTTTTAGCGGACACCCTGTATATTTTGTGGATAATGAATGTATCATTATCATTATCATTAAAATATAAAAACTTATATTTTTTCACATGGTTCGATTTGCCGATGACCCAGGCAACCAGATGACGAATGATGAAACTAATTATTCAGTATGAACACATTATCACTTATCATGGAGGTGTTCAGAGTGTTTTTTGTTATATTAGGCGAAAATACTGGCCACTGAATGCAATAAATGTGATAAAGGGTGTTCGCATTTTCTGAATTCAGTGGCCAGTATTCCCGCCTAATATAACAAAAAACACTCTGAACACCTCCATGATAAGTGATAATGTGTTCATACTGAATAATTAGTTTAGTGAATTCATCATCACTAGACACATGGGAAATATATGATCAAAATTTGAGGTAGAATGTGTGAAGCGTCCGGGAAGTGAGCAATTCTCGGACGGTTGCCGAGAAAAGTTTTTCTTCAATGCAACTAGCTCAATTAGTAGTGCAACCTTGCAATAATTTGTCAAGATCAATTGTACAATTTGCCTAATTGTCAGAAAAATAAATAATAATAAAGAAGAAGTTATAAATAGAAACATGGATATATATTACAAAAAGCAAACATTTCAATCGTTTTTGTATTTCCCATACAAACATGGACGAATAAGAACAAAATATATAACAGTATCCATTACTTCTTTTCAAGTGTTAATGCATTTCACAAATTGAATTTTCAAGGTGTAAATAATACTGGCCATCGAATTGGTGAACTTACCCATATTAGTGAAATCAAACGCACAAAGGTAAAGCTGAAAAAGAAATCTCTTGGAAAGTATAGCAAATTTCATTATTGACATTTGCACCAAAATATTATTGTTCATTATTATTTCGATGGTCTACATCTGCGAAAACTTTCAGAAATAAATTGTACAGTGTGTCACAAAAGGTATGTTTCAAAATCCAAGGCATGGTAGAGCAAACATTTCGTGCCCATGAACCCAGTGTTCAGGAGCTTAGTTACAATGCTACCAAAAAAAGTATCCACAGAACGGAGATAATAACATTGCTGAAACCTGAAAATGAACATGGCAAAGGCAAGTGCACCCTGGAAATTCGTTCCCAAAACATTCAAAGCTAAGTGGAATTTTATATTTTTTCAATACACCTTAATGCCATCCTCCATCAAACGTTTTTCAAACAAGTCGTCAATGAGTATCGAATAAATGTTTCTCCTAGGTTCCTACAGGTGAAATTTTAGAGGAAATGACTTCTTTCTGTTCCTGAAATTCATAGTACATACAGTGTGTCCAATTTTCGATGCTTTTGCATGATATCTCAGTTATCTTTGGAGATAGGACCTTGCGGTTTTCGCGGACCTGTGCCACTTTTTTGTGAAACTCAAGATGGCCTAATCAGATTTTGCAAGACTGTTTCCATTAATGAGATACAGGGCGATTTTGAAAATTTATACTTTTTGGACCCCCTCTATATCCACGAAGTTTCTCAACAAAAATGTCAAATCAAAATCTCATCGCATAGAAAATTTCACGCATAATCCAGTGGCGCACTTAAATTTTTTTTCTCGGGGTATGATTTTGGAGATACGACTCAAACTTATGATTTTTTAAATGGAACACCCTGTATTTCATAAGCTCATTGAATTCCTTATTTTTTTGTCTTCAAAATGATATATGAAGAATGAATATAAAACTTTCAAAATTGCTCAAAATCACTAAAATATTGAATTTTGATAGTTGGTTATGAATTTTTTTTATAAAAAACGTTCCAATTGAAGAAATATTTCTTCAAATTTTTCCATGGAGAGGTCAAAACCAATATCAACACTTATTAATTAACAAAACACTAAACTTGGGTACCTGATAGCAACAAATAAATAGTAATTAAAAGTCCATAATGTAGAATAAGCACCTGATTAAATATTTACTAAAATAATTGAATTCCGGAATTATTCAGTAACTTATTCATTGACATGTTCACATTTATATCCATTTTCCCTAACATACAGTTGACAAACTTTCTTAATACTTCTTAATACAGTGAGTGGCCCAACATACTTGAAGAACTTTGTGCAACAACAGAGGCAGTTTTCCAGGAATTACAAAGACATCTTTCAATGATTAATATGTATTGAGAAAGTTTGTGATGGAAAATGGACATCAATTTGAACGATTCGATGAATAAATTACTGAATAATTTCTAAATTCAATTGTTTTAAAAAATATTCAATCAGGTGCTTATTCTACATTATAAACTTTTCATTACTATATATTTGTGGATATCAGGTATCTAAGTCTTGTGTATTGCAAGTTAATTAGTGTTGAAATTGTTTTTCCCCCTTCATGGAACAATCAAAGGAATTATTCCTCCAATTGTCAATTTCTTTATATGAAAATCCCTCGAAAAACCCATAGCCCACTATTAATATTCGATGTTCTAGTGATTTTTGAACATTTTTGAAAATGTTATATTCATATATCATATATTATTTCGAAGGGACGAAAATAAGGAATCTAAGGAGCTCATAAAATATAGGGTGTTCAATTTAAAAAATCATAAGTTTGAGTCGTATCTTCAAAACCACACCCCGAAAAAAAATTTTTTGTGCGCCACTGGATTCTGCATGAAATTCTCTATGGGTTAAGATTTCGAATTGACATTTTCGCTGATAAACTTCGTAGATATAGAGGGGGTCCAAAAAGTATAAATTTTCAAAATCGCCCTGTATCTCATAATTGGAAACAGTCCTGCAAAATCTGATTAGGGCATCTTGAGTTTCACAAAAAAGTGGCACAGGATCGCGAAAACCGCAAGGTTCTATCTCCAAAGATAACTGAGATATCATGCAAAAGCATCGAAAACTGGACACACTGTACATACAAGTTCGTCAGCAAAATAATGCTTGTTTTCCTGAGAACTACTAGCCCTAAAAATTTTTCACATACTTCCCGTGACACCTATATTGTGATGCATAAAAAACGAGGTATATTTGTTTGGATTGGAATGTATTGGGTAGAAACTTGGACAGCATTATGTTCCGAGTTGGAGTTGTCAGATTTTTATTGGAACTTTCACATAATTATATCACGCTCTTTTTTATCTGACTTCTTGTAATGTAAAAATAAAGTCATAAAAATATGTACTTAATTCATTATCACAAAATTGCTAATTTTTCAATTTGTTTCTCCAGTAGTACGTGAACTGAAACACAAGTATCAGTCTTCCAAAACAATCCAGTTCAAAATCTTTTACAATTTTAGATGTCTCGAAATTTACACCTCTTTGAGAAGAAGGAAAATATTTGAAGTTTAAAATACATTAAAATTGGTAATGAAACAGCACAAAATAGTGACTACGATGAGAATAGCTCAAGTAAAATATGTGACACTAGAAGAATCCCATAAAAAATTCGTAACCAAGATCTACTCCCAATTTGCTGTTCATTTTATTAGCACGTGAGACGAAGTGACAGCAGTCAAAATTGCTTCCACACTGACGTCACAAGTGAATTTGCTTGTTTTCAATGATATTTTGATACAACAATTCTGAAACTGATTCTCTTTGAAAGATTTAAGGGTAAACCACTTAGGTCGATGATCTTCGGTATTGTCTCTCAATAAAAATGTATTTCAAATTGTAATAAAATATTCAAGCCAAAATGATTTCAGCCACATATTTTTCTCTCACTGGATTCGTTACACTTACATATAAACACAAACATTAATTCAAAAATTTTAGACAACTGAACACATGCGTGTACTCCCTCGTAGACGAATGTATAGAATAACCAACAAAAAATTTGTGCTAAAACAGAAAAATACAACAAAAATGTGAACAAATTATACAGAATTACAAAATCATTAAATAACTTTTCTGACAGGTCAGAAAACAAACTTTGTCTAGCAGTAAGTCAATCATATTTAGAAAAGCTACACTCCTTAGCAAAACAATTGATCCACTCAAAGTATTGATGAATATTTCAATCAATCAATCAATCAACTTTATTATTCCCAAGAAACAACATTTTGTTAGAAACTGGATATTACACCGCACCACCCTGTACATCGATACCTTCTGATTCTATTAGTAAGACATGACTCAGATGGTTACGTTACATGATGAATAAGAGGACAGTTGGAGAATATAGATTATTAATCGTTTATATTTTGTAGAGCACACATCGTGAATATAAATTGTTAAAATTTGAATAGTGTTTCAATATCCATAGTCCAATAATTTGTTTATAGCAGGAAACATGGTGAATACATACACTCAAGAGGATTCTTTTTTTTTTTTGAAGTTCGACTGAAAATTATTCTCAATTGACTCAGCTGTTAGGTACCCTATAGAAAACTATAATAGTTGTACAAGAAAACTATAAAAATGAGATGAGATGTCAATATTACAAGAGTAGATGTTTCTTGAATTCTTTTTTAAATTTTTCAATCCTATTAATCAGCTTCAAGTTATTTGGTAGTGAATTGTATTGTATCATTCCATTGTGATAGATGGATATTTTACCAATATCTAATTCAACTTCCTTGACAGACAAATGATCTGCTTGTCTAGTTGTATGGTTGTGGTGATTACTATTAATTTGGAAAACCAAATTTGAATGCTGTTGACAATGTTTAACTGAATGAATGAACGACATTAATTTGAATTTATATATTGAATCTATATCTAATAACATTCTTCTTCTGTAAAGGTTCATAGTAGGTTCCAAATAATTTAGACATTGACTACGGAAATGACTCCATCCTGGACATAGCTGGACCTTCACCATACGAAATACTTGAATAAAATCCAACCCTCAAGGGCCGTAAGTCGTACCTTCCGTTCCTTCAATCAGAGATTTTATGCAAAAACTGTTGATAACAAATTAGCGAGACTCCCAGTGACAAATCGGCCACCTTCAAGTCCAGACATAAACCCAATTGAAAATGCTTGAGATGCTCTTGAGAAAACAAGTACCAGCCCCTGAGCACTCACAGCTACTCAGTGAATTCCTAATTATTGGAAAATCGCAGCAAAAACCGTTGTCTTTTAGAAAATTCAGGTTATAGTCACACATAAAAAAAAGGTGAGGTCTAGATGTAGGTTAATAACAAAATAGAAATTACAGGGTGTTACAGCTGACCCACTCTATATAAGGTGATTCAAAATTCGATGTACACCCCCCCCCCCCCAAAGGATTTACATAATTTTTTAAGGAAGAATGAAATAAAGTATCTAAAAGGACAGGGGCCAGACGATTTTTAGAAGAATTGATCCGTTATTTTAGTCACAATTTCAGAATATCTTTTTTCTTTGAATAGTCTACAGTGGCTGTAGCTTGGAAGGGGTGAATTTTAGGACACATTTATATAAAGAGAGTCTTATTTTGATCCCAACAATATGTCCTTAAAATATTTACATCGAATTTTGAATCAAACTGTATATTGTTCCAAAGTTGTACTAAAAATGTAGTGTTTGTGTCACCTGTGAAATAAGAACAAAGAACTGATTTGCTTGAATTCTAACTATTGTCAGATTTATTATGAACCGACCTATGTTGTGTTGAAAATAATAATCAAAGAACAAAGTAACAGGAGAACAAACTTCATCTACATTTTGAGTGGATCCATTTTGCCGTGAGTGTATCTCATGTAAACGTTTTTTTTTCATAATGGTACAATGTGTTGCATTTCCTTATATTCTCTCATTGGTTGACCGATTACAATTCAGATTTTTCAAACGTGTAAAATCAAAAATGTCTTTGCTTTGAGCCATCATGTCAAAGGTATGGACATTGATGTCATACTCCGTATTCCGTTTGGATTCTGATTGTGTGTCATGAAACATTAGAATTCCACAAGAGTTGAATTTTGTTTTTGATCAATTTAACATAGGCAAGCAGAAGCCCCACCATTTTTTTTTTACTTGATATGTCTTGCCAAGTGTTCTAGTGATTAAACGGGAACAGGAAATGTTTGTTCAGTACACACTTGGGAATCGACTCCCATGAATATATTTGACAATTGCCAGTTTAGGTTAAAGCACTGAGCGAAGAACTTTCACTGCCAACAAGCGAGCATTGAAATTGGTTGACGCACCTGCGTAGTATACAGTGTGTCCCACTTACCAAGCTCACCATGGGTATCTTTTTAACGGTGAGAGATACGAGGTCGGTTAAATGACACCAAATGTGGAGTTTGTCAAGGCCAACTATAATGTGAAAAAATATTTTGATAAAATCTATTCGTTTTTGTTTTATACGCAAAAAACAGATTTCGATCATTTTCATGTCTCCTCCGTAACTTCTTTATTTATGAAAATATTCAAATAGGAATTTCACATTCTCATGGCAGTTTTTTTCGAAGTGATTTCTAAAAAAATATGAAATTTATACCAACTCTTCTAGAATTTGAGATATCAGCACCAACTTTAGTTTTTCAAATGTAGGTCATAGCTCACTATGACTTAGTTACAAATAACTTTTTTTCCTCTTTCAGATGATGTGTTGCAGTAATAGTTTTGTGTTGATAACAATGGAGTTATCGTCATTTATATAAAAACAAAAAATTATTTGGGAGCCGCCATCTTGAATTTATAAATTTCAACAAGTAAATTCCATAACTCCGATTTCCTTCAAATTTGGCAGGTGTTCATAATTTCGGTGACAATACATTATGGAATTTTTGTTGAAATTAAAAAAAAATGGCTGCTCCAAGATGGCGGACAAGATTTGGTCCAATTCCATTCAAAATTGGTAAGTGGGGGTTTTTGAGGACGGAGATCATGATTTACTTGTTGAAATTTATAAATTCAAGATGGCGGCTTCCAAATAATTTTTTGTTTTTGTATAAATGACGATAACTCCGTTGTTATCAACACTGCGACATATCATCTGTAAGAGAAGAAAAAGTTATTTGTAACTAAGTCATAGTGAGCTATGACCTACATTTGAAAAACTAAAGTTGGTGCTGATATCTCAAATTCTAGAAGAGTTGGTATAAATTTCATATTTTTTTCGAAATCACTTCGAAAAACTGCCATGAGAATGTGAAATTCCTATTTGAATATTTTCATAAATAAAGAAGTTATGGAGGAGACATGAAAATGATAAAAATCAGTTTTTAGCGTATAAAACAAAAACGAATAGATTTTATCAAAATATTTTTTCACATTATAGTTGGCCTTGACAAACTCCACATTTGGTGACATTTAACCGACCTCGTATCTCTCACCGTTAAAAAGATACCCATGGTGAGCATGGTAAGTGGGACACACTGTATATTAACGTCGGAACTGCATATTTTTTATCGAATTATTTATATCTGTTTTAGAGTCTTGCTAGACTGTATATTTATACTCGTAGATTTCATCAAAGCTGACTTCTCCATCAGCCATTTCAACGTTGATTATGTTTGGCATATTGTTAGTGTTTCACTGTTTCATCCTAGATCTTGATGAGTTTGTTGTATGTCCGCTGTTTTTGTTTATTGTCATACTGCACATTGCAGTAGGAGGGATGATATACATGGTAATTAATTGAAAATGGGCAATCTCTGAACTACAGCAAGTAAACACCAAAATATGAAGATTCTGCCCAATACGCCATATAGAACTGTTCCAGTTCAAGGAAAACATTTATTTTAAATTTCTCCATACCTTTGGTCAAACATTTACTTTGAAATTCTGTTTGTCTTTGGCGTTTACTGCCTTTTTTCCACTGTTATTTCGTTAACTTTATAATTTGAAATAATAAAAATTTTAAATGTGAACACAAACCTCTTCAAGAGCGAATAACACAAAAACCGTTGGAGCAAGACGAGTTAATTTTTTGTGAAAAATTGAACAAGGTTTCAGAATCTTGACTTATTTAAATCATGATTTAATGGACAAAGATGTGATATTACTTAACGAAGTAACAGAGTGTCCTCATAATCGCCTTCTATATGAGCAATCATGAAATGAGTTACAAATTCGAATTTCTCATTTAAGAAAACCCAAAACTACAAAATCCCGAAACTTTGCTGCGTAGCCCTGATGACAGGCATATTTTTTTAAAACTATCTGAAATAATGATGTGGCCAAATGGAAGAGCTCTGGTTATGGTTGGACTTAATCAATCTTGAATTTTCATTTCACAATGTGGAACTTACTCGCAATTTTAACATTAACAGAGAAGAAAACGTAGGAAGAAACCAACTGAAACAAAAAGATAAAGTATTCCTGTCAGTTCTACCAACCTTGAATGCACGTCTCACCAGCGTGATCTGGTGGACAATCATTCGAAACGCTCAAACTGTGTGAAAGAAAAAAATGTTCAGAAAAGTTGACATCAAATGTTGAAACAAAAAATCAAATTGTAATCGGTGAAATAACAAGAACAAAAACGTATTCCGGATCCTTATAACCTATCTTTGGAGAAGTTGCTTTACTGTGACTTGGAGTCTTCGCTGTAGTCGTCGCTGCTAGACCGTATGTCGCCGTCCATTTGGCCGGCGTTCAACGAATTGTGGACGATTCTCAGGATGAGGTACGTCCAGAAACAGTGCAGGACAAGTAGGAGGACGAGCAGGCTGTTGAAAATATAGTAGGCCGGGAACATGGGCACCAAGGTAGGCGCTTCGATCCACGTACTGAAAACAAGATTCGATATCAACTGCTGTGCTACAGTGATACATCGCCTCATCCTTGACACAGTAAGATTCGGTCACAGAACTGAGATGTTTATGATTCCTCTGGTGTGTCCACTCTTCAATTGTTTCGTCAGACTAACTCTCGATATGAACAATTTATTGCGAGTTCGGAACGTGGAGTTCTTATATCCGATGATAGATGGCGACAACGATGGAACATTTTTTGGATACTTTCAAAATGCTTTTTATGGAGTTGAACTATACCTTTTCAACTTCAAATTGAGACTAATCATTTTCAAAATGGGAATAATCATATTCTAAATGAGACGAAATATTCAGCATGGATTTTGTTGAGTTTTAATTACGGTTTTGTCTAACTTTGGTAAAAAAACTATAAAGACTTTATACTATCGAAAAACCTCAACATGACACCCACGAAAATATACATGACATACGAAGTGTTTGGTGAACAAATTATAGGAAATGCTCCTTAATATCAACACCTTCCCTCATTGAATAATTTGTTCAGTCTCTGTTGGCGATGTCTATGTCATATAATCCCATTTCTTCACATAGTCTTCGCAGTCTTGGTTTGAACAATGGCTTTGTCATAATGTCAGCAACTTGAATATTATATATTGAATAGGATATTCTGGAAACGGCAGCCATTTGGAGGTCTATTGTCGTCACTCTTTTTAGTCTTTTTAATCTACTCACTCTAGATTCGATATGGATACAACATTTTAGTGGAAAGACATAACTGATTCTTACAGGATGATTAACCTGTGTCCTTGGTGAGATGGCGACACTTTCATCTACCCGATGGAGTATCGCTGGAAGGCAATATAATCCCAAATGTGGGTGCGGATGCGTATATCTGTCACCCAGAATATATATTCAATGATAGATTGTCTCCATTGCCCCAAGGAATAATGTTGTTCATATTTTTTTCCATCTTTTGGAGCGCATGAAAAGTAATCCCCATTATGTTCGAGCATCGAGGAACATTGTGAGTACCTAGGAAGGATAAAGGGAGAAGATGGGTATTGGATTCATTTTCATTTTTAGAGGTTAATACTTCTAAGGAATCTTTCATTCTGCCTTTCTTTATACAAACGAGTTTTAACATATATATCTATGTTGACGATAAAACAATGTGCTAACAAGGTTTGTCAAGTTCGTTCTGACTGGTATTGCAATGTTTTAATAATCCTCTGGTGTGACCACCTCTAAACTCAATATCATTCCATCTCAGTCACTTCCATCTCTATTCTATGTCATCTGCCACTTCATGTCAAAGTCACTCTATTTAAACTTCCATTTGATACTTGGCACATGTTTGACACCATTTCCCTCGCCTTTCGTGTCGCCTGCAGCTCTTATTGAAGAATGTTTGAATTTTTCTTGATTCTCAAATAATTTTTCGAAATACAACTAAAACATGTTCATCATTATTATTTTTTAACAAAAGTGATCCGCATTCAATTGCAGTACCTTCATTGTAACTACTTAATTTTTTGTAATGTGTAACTTCAATGTTCATTGTCTGAATATTTTGTCGGACATGGTTTTTTATCTTATTGTAGTACTTCTTGTAACCATTTTTGCTGATGATGAGGCTTTGAAGCTTCGAAAAGTGTCTTGATGTTAAAATAAAGTATAGTTTTAGTGGAGTTGACTATGAATTGTTCTCAAAGATGAAAAAGCGAACTCGAAGTCGGTCAACCACAATATTTAATATCTTCAGACACAATGAGAAGAAGTAGCTTGGAAATTATAATGTTCCTATATCTAAAACAACATGGTAGCTGAGAAAGAGTCGACATACCTCTTATGTGGAACTTTTTTTACCAAGAGAGAAAGTTTTCCGTTCGTTTATGAAAACCAATCCAGCATACTTATCACATTTGAAACAACTGAAAAGCCAAAAGAACTTGACTATAGGTAAGTTCATCATTATAAGAATCTACACAATGGAGATTCATCTGAGTGGGATACCAGAAAACTGGAACTGGCGCTTTAAAAATAGTGTATTTACCTATTATAATAACTCCCATACAAGGGTACAATACTGACCAAACTAAAAGGTTGCCTCTTTACATCGCCGATTCGGACCCAACTTAAATCAAGCAGAGGCGGCAGGCAAAAAAGTTCTACAGGGATAAATTGGGTACGACCCCTGAAAGTCTATCACCCTGTAGGTATTCAAAAACGCTCAATAGCCTCAAATATTGAGTTTTTGAAGTGTATTAGGTGTACCAAATTTCAATCAATTATTCCGAAAATTGTAAGAGAAAATTCAAAAAACATAAAAAAAATGTGAAACTTTGACACCCTGTATATCGGAAACGGAGGTCCCACGCATATATGTTTGTTTGAGATTTTCATCTTAAAAAAATGTCTTCTTATAGCTGTTGAAGTCCTGCTACAAAAAACTGGAACACCCTGTATATTCTCTTCAATCTCTTGGAGGGCATGAAATGAAATTCCTATATTGTTCGTGGAACATCATGCGTACCTAGGGAGGATAGGGAGAGGAGGTTGGTGTTGGATTTTTTACATTAGCAAAAAGATCCAAAGCAAGTTATAATGGATTAGGTCGTATTATTCAGTTTCTTACAAGAAATGAACATCTGGCAAGTCCCATTTTACATAGACCATTCAAGTTCACGAATTGCGAGACAAGATTATACCTAGGTAAGGAAGAATCCATTTTAAATCAATGAATCCCTTATTATCGCCAAGTGAAACTTGGACCTGCTTCAGACTCAATACTACAACTGAGGAAGTCATTTTCAATACATCTGATGGGGAATCTAATTGATAAAAATAAATTTTACTCTCTGTCTAATGGACTTTCCAATTCCATCAATTTTTGATTTTCATACATGTTCCCTAACTAGCTGCTGGTAATTGAGAATAAGGTCGGATTTCTCAAAATCAACAATTTTTCAATTTTGAACAGCTAAATATTTCAGACGTTTTTCAAAGGGGTTCGTTCTGAATTATGTGATAGTGCTTATCTCACTAACTGGACGTATCTATAATTTTTTTCGAATTGATTGATGAAAGAGAAAATGTATTATATCCGATAATATCTTTCACCAAAATGAATTGCACGCACTGCAGAAATGTTGATATGGGGTCCAATTTTTACAAGGTATTGCAGATATCCACTTTTTTCGTCACCCAGCTGTCAGGGTAATATTAACCTCAATATTGAAAGAATATTCACGGTCGCCAAGGTCATTAGATGACACTGCGATCACATTCAAAACTACGGGAAAAGATCCTAATTCCTGGCATAGATAGAAAGTTAGACATGTTCTCCCGTAGTTTTTAATGGCATTGAAACGTGATCTAATGACATTGGCGACAGTGAATAAACAACAAATATTTCACAGCTGGCGACGAAATCATCTCCTTCGCTACTGATTACGATATTATAGATAAGGTTTATATGGACTCAATTGTGTTATAATAAATAATGATTACTCACTTTCTGATGATCCAGAACGGGAAAATAATTAATCTAGTAGTTATCCACAGCACAGTGAAGACAGCGAAAATCACATCACAGACTTTTTGATATCCAGAATATTTGGCCATTTTAGCTGCCTGAAATAATAATGGAGAAACACTTATTCTGAATGATGGAAAAATTGAACATTCGTTTCTGATACGCTGAATGTCCAATATTTTCAGGCTGCATTTTTTGTTTCAGAGTTCAGAGCAACGAACGAATTTTGAGAAGCCATAAATATACAGTATTCGCAATAAAATTGATTTATGTAATTTCTTCCCATCACTTGATTGTAAAATATCAGCTACTCAAGAATTGCCGGCCACCAATATAACTTAGCCGAATTGTTCGCCCTGTATCTTTTAAAATTCTTGTCCGATTTTGGTGAAATTTCGGCCGAATTGTATATTCTTTTTCTTATTAATTTATTTCCATTAACAATAATTCATTCTCCAACCTTCTGCTTCATTATATTTTGAATTGAAGTGAGATCCTTTTTCGCCCCTTCTCAGCACAATGGTTCGAGATTCACGTCAATATCTTCTTTTTTAGGGAAGTGTAAATTTTTTTAATTTTTATTAACAATAATTCAGAACCTATTGAGCATCTTGGGAATGAACTCCAGAGGCTCATTCACCTTTGTCTGGCCTTGTCAGAGACTCTTGAAGAGCTAAGATTCGTCCTTCAAGGAGAATTTTCGGCAATTCTTCAAGACTACTTGAGAAATTTGATCAACAAGATGCCTCGGCGGTTGAAACCTGCAATTTAAACTCGAGGGTATACTTGTTATTGACTACATGACTGGTTTTTGCTTGATTTTTGTAATTGAGGTTTTTTCCGGTGAGTGCTATGAAAATTAGTTAGAAATAAACCATATTAATTCTTAAAGTTTCCAAGCAATAAGTTTATGTAGGTTCTGATTATTGTCAATGATTGAAAAAAATCGAGTATCGATAAGTATCTATTCTCCTTTTCTGCATCGAAGACAAGTGCAAGAATATTTATGAGCAATTTGATTTTAATAGATCCGGTTCGAAGGACCAATATGCTCGATGCTTGATAGATAGTGGACGGTATTTGTATGGTTATGTGATATAATATAATGAATTCAAGGTTGATATTAGAAATGCAATTCGTATTGCAGCAATCCGTCGTCATGTTGACAGCAAACGAAAATTCCTCACACTATATAGGGTCATACAAGTACTAAACACTCACCTCCAAAAAAATGTCGGCGCAATCGTGCACGAGCAGCACCAAAGTACCTACGCGGAACACGTTCACGACCCACGATAGGCACATCAGCACGATAGTGGCTATGTGGTGGATGAACATCTGCCAGAAGTCTTTGCGCTTCACGTCGAAGAACTGGCTGACGCACAGCGACCAGTAGAACGACATCGATATCATGTAGTACCACCAGACGTCCTCGGTGACTGACTGATGAGGAAAGCCGGTCCTGGAACAATCAGTAAGCGATAACATGGCTACGATTTGAAAGCAATTCGGCATTCAGGAAATGAACAGCGAGAATGCATTGGGCACGTAGCTTAAGAACAGTCGCATCAGAGGCCAATCAGGCAGCAACAAATATATGGTCAGAAATGTTACTAACCTCAGAATATTAGGTATAATCATGGATAAACCACATGTATAATTATTGTTCTTCAATAGATAACCACAAAATATTGATATTAGTGACATTTCTGATATTTGGCGGTTCCTTATTGGGTCTGGTGCGACCGTGTTCAGGTTATGTGCCAAATGTATTCTCGCCACTGTCAAAAACACCCTCCAGACCGCTAATGCGATGAGAAAGCACTGACAGAAGCTATGTCACTCATCAAATCGAACTGGCGAACTTACGCATTCAGGACCAGTCAAATATCTTACTCTTATATCTGTTTCCGAACACCAAAATTCTGAATCAATCAATAGTAAATTGCTGACTTGGTTCTATTTCTATTGATTTTAGTACAAGCATTTCTGCCTTCTTGTCAATGATAATAAGAAGTGAAATTATGCGGGGAATGAGGTATTTTAACTTGGCAACATTGGGTTAGCGCAAGTTGCATCATCTCTTTCTCTTGTAAACACAGTTGCCAGATTAGCAATTACGTTTCCCGGGAATGAGTACTTGAGATATAGTAACATTGTTCAATTTATTGATTATGACAGTTAGTCAACGAAATTTCAACATAATAACTAAAACCAAACTAAGTATATAAAAATCGTCTTACTGTTAGATGCCTGCATCACATTTTATTCTAGCTAATCTTGAAAGTGATGGAATACTTTGGAGTTCAGAGTAAATTGAATGTGGTCAGCGGTTAATTACCAATCAACTAATTACCTACTACACATTTATTTCGAATAATTGCGGAGTGATTCCCAGCCGTCAGAACTCCAACCAATCAAATTGCAAGAAGACACTGATATCACAGCTAAGTAGCGTTTGAATTCGCAGATACCGAAATAGCATTTTCAATATTGAATAACCCATTAGTTTTCCAACATTTCCGATAAATATGTGTTCGGGATAACGGTTTTAACTTCCCTTCATAACGTTATAGAGAAAAAGGGTCAAATTTTACGATACCGGAAAGGCACATTGAAAAAAGTCATCTATATATATTTTTTCAGTTCTACTGAGGATGGTTACTTAGTTGTCGAAATACGTATTTTAACTTTTTTAAATATTATTGTGGTATTTTGGGTATCTTTTTGCATCTATTTCTCTCATTTTCGAGTAAAATTTTTATTGATTCATTATTGAAATACCGCATAAAACTGAAGATGGCTAGCGATCCTAGCGGACGACCAGATTTTTTTTTCTTCAATCGATTCAATGTTCACATTGATTAACGATGGACTTCTACTGAAGATTAAGAAAGGAGTGTCAATATGTAATAATATACCAGTTGGTTTTTGGACCATAACTTTTTTATCTCAAAATGAAGTAATGTGCGGATGTGGTTTTGCCAAACAAATAACATACTTTATACATTGATAGTGATCTACGAATCAGGAATAAGATGACGAATAAAATTATCAACATAGTAAATACTTGGCATTCAAACAGAAATAATTCGGCAGTAAACTAGTTTCTGAGTAATAATGCACCAAATTGTTTATATTGCGTTTAGAACATCATAAAATTTTATATTAATGATAATATAAACAAATAACGGGAAGATATAAGATTAGGAAATTTCTGTTAGGCCAAAAAATGGGGTCTAGCAATCAAGACTTGCTTAGACCATTACACGCCAAAAGTTACCTCAACATTCACCCTAATTTATTACACTTTTAGATACACAAGATCATTTTGCAGATAGTAGCATTTAACAGGTTGAAATTTCAAAAATGTAATATAATTGAGAAGAGTGAGAAGCAAAAAACGCAAGGCGTTGAGGTTTTTTGTTAGGACTGACATTTTGCTCCCCTTTAGTTTCACATTCTGCCTCATCAATCGAAATACGAAACATGAAACATACAAATTTTCAGAGGATTTTAATTTTTAATGCTCTTCTTTTGGATGATCAAGACATATAATTCAATGTTCGACGTGGCAAATAGCCAGGAGAGTAGTTGTGTTCTGTTGAATATACAGAATGATATTGTGTGCATATACATATTTTTATTTGAAGGAGAATGCGAATGATTAACTTCAGGAGATTTTGTTTTCAAATTCTTAACGTGTGTGTTTAATAGATATAATTCAATGTTCGTCGTGGCATATAGCCAGGAAAGTAGTTGTTTTCTGTTGAATAAACCGAGAAAGAATCGATATTTTCATCACATAGTGAGAGGCCAAAAAATAGTTTGTAGTTGTAGTAGTTGAAATAGTTTTTCACAATTATTTTGGCATACGAATCGTGATTTTCGGTTATTTTATTAATTCGCGCATGCCATCACATTGTACTGTTGGACAATGCACATAAAATGCAGCGAGAGGCGAAGGAGTCCCGTTGGTACATTATGATTTAAAAGTAAGTACCTACTATAGTCACTCACATATAGTTTTCATTTTGAAATTTGGCAATTTCTCTGATTTCTCATCGGAATTCCTTCTGCAATAGGAGGTAATAGAAATAATTTCTAAAAGAATGCAAGAAGATTGGAATCATGCAATCAAACGGGAGGACTGGTCTGATATGCAGACGAAATATGATCGTGTGTGTTGTAGACATTTTCAATCTATTAGCAGTATAAGAAATAACAAAATTTCATAATAAGAACTATGTGAGATTACTATTTACCTGAAACATCATATTCCATCGTCTCTCGCTGCATTTTGTCGTATGTTCAGGTTGTGAACATCCGATCGAAATTCAATTTTTTCGAATAGATAACTTGCCTTTTTCGATAAAATTATTTTATGGTACAGCGTGGCACAGTGGAGTTTACGAAAAGATTGCATATTTAGCCAACCAGCTTCAGTAAGCTAATCACGAATGGGTTGCCTCTTTCTTATACTGAAGATGAAACGCAAATAGTGATTCTGTATTTTTTGTATCGTTTGAGCATCAACTGCCGTGAGACATGGACCGTAAACAGTGTCACAATGGTTAAACGTTGATAAAACTAGCGAGTTACAGTGTACAGTTTTTAGATGTCTATTCAATAAGGAACGTGAGCTATATAGGAGTTGCAGGTGGTTGCAGTTTCCAGATTGCCTTCTTTATAAATTCAGGGAAATGTTTATGAAATCGTAGGTAGGAGTCTGTCCATACTCCAAGATTTTTTGCTGAGTCAGAAAAACTCAAAGGGACATTGTTGATAGATAACTGAATAGTAAAGCAGTTGATTTGTTGGGATTTAGAGCCAGATGATGATCACGGGAGATTCTATGAATAGTGTTCAGTTCACTATTAATAATTCAACTACTATTCATTATATCAGAAGGATGAAAAGAGTAAAGAACCTGTGTGTCGTCGGCATTCATTTGTTAATGGCAATTATTAACGAAAGTGTGAAAGAGAGCAGTGTAGATGATATACAGAATGGGACCAAGTATAGAGCCCTGAGGAACACCACAAGTTAATGACCTCAGGTCGGATGAGCTGCCTTCTTTTTTACTACTAAGAGATATTGTTGATGGATAACTGAATATTTTTCTTCAATATTTCCCAAGCCTTGTTATAACCGAATAATGAAGCAGTTGATTTTTAGGGATTTAGAGCCAGGTGATGATCACGGGAGATTCTATGAATAGTGTTCAGTTCACTATCAATAATTCTACTAAAATTCACTATATTAGGAGGATGAAAAGAGTAAAGAACCTGTGTGTCATCGGCATTCATTTGTTAATGGCAATTATTAACAAAAGTGTGAAAGAGAGCAGTGTAGATGATATACAGAATGGGACCAAGTATAGAGCCCTGAGGAACGCCACAAGTTAATGACCTCAGGTCGGATGAGCTGCCTTCTTCTTTACTACTAAGGGATATTGTAGATGGATAACTGAATATCTTTCTTCAATATTTCCCAAGCCTTGTTATTACCGAATAATAAAGCAGTTGATTTTTAGGGATTTAGAGCCAGGTGATGATCACGGGAGATTCTATGAATAGTGTTCAGTTCACTATTAATAATTCTACTACTATTCACTATATCAGAAGGATGAAAAGAGTAAAGAACCTGTGTGTCATCGGCATTCATTTGTTAATGGCAATTATTAACAAAAGTGTGAAAGAGAGCAGTGTAGATGATATACAGAATGGGACCAAGTATAGAGCCCTGAGGAACACCACAAGTTAATGACCTCAGGTCGGATGAGCTGCCTTCTTCTTTACTACTAAGAGATATTGTAGATGGATAACTCCTCCTCCTACCTCACTGAGGTTTAGTAAAGAAGGTTACCGAATTCATAGAAAGTCCTATATACTTCAGTATACATATCAAATCATCATGAGATGAGTTCGGAAATCACGGTGTCAGGCGAGATGGTGTGGTGTTGTTTGGTGTATTGTGAAGGTCACGTGATTTTGGTGTCATTTGCTCATAGAACTGCACGGAAAATAAACGAACGCGCATCGGCGTCATGGTGGCCGTCTGACAGACAACAACAACGAATTTTTTTTTTGTAGCTTCATTCTCTCATCTATCATTTATTCATTCATACTTCATTATGTATTAACGTATGACGAACCTAATACAGTGTACTTGCTGTTCAAAAAGGAAAATAAAGTGAATTTGAATTTGATTATCGGATGTCAAATCATTTTGTAAATATGGTAAATACATATTCACTGTCTTGCTGAATACACCAACTGATGGATCTTCTCCAAATGATGGATTGTTGAACGAAACATATACGAGTATTACTTAGATTCATCAATAGAAGGCATACGTGCAAAGTATGTGAAAAGCTTCGAGACTAGGACATCCAGAAATATCAGTTGAAGACAGTTGCTATCTCCATGTGGTATTTAGCGAATGTTGAAAGTTTCAGGT